TCATCGTTTATCAATTTTACCTCCCTACTGCTTACACTGAATTCTGATTTTAATAAACACCATCAACTCCATAGTATTATTAATTCAATTTTAGTTCGTTGTCGCGTTTTAACTTCATCTACTGTTGGTGGATGTTGTTTGTATTTTCCCTTAAAGAAGCCTACACTTGTCTGACCTACAAATCACATCCCTTGTTTTTTATTTTTCTTAATTGCTCTTGGCCAACTTTTAATGGGTGGATGACTTTTCGGGATCAATGTTGTGTTTTATGTCTATTTGTCGTGATAAAAAGCCAAAATGAAACCAAGAATAAAGAGTAATTACAGAGCAGAATGAAATGTCCAAATTAGAAAAAAAAAGAAGTAAATGTGGCTCTTTTCGAGGCTACTTAAACTTTAATATTACTCCCACAGAGTTAGTCATCACAGTTGACATTAAGTCAAGTGGATCAAAAAGGGATTTTCGAACCTACGTCGCATTATCAAAGACGTAAAAGTAAATTTCCATCGCCCACAAAGTAATTAGAGCCAACTGAAAGCACTAAACACAGTCTGCATCGTAACACCGACTACAAGTTGTTCTGATGAAGAGCAGAAGTTGGCTAGGATAAACATTATGTGTTACATGTACTAGACTGTGCACTCGGCAGACACGTGCGTAAGCTTTTCTAAATAAAGCATAACTTCAGGAAATAATGAGGCGTGGTGGCCTGTCATACTCATTATAAACCAGTCCTAGAATTCAATGATTGTAAAGAATGATATGCTATTGATCTGAAGTGAAACGCAATAACTATTTCTGTTATGTTTTCTTTCTCATTAGTCAAGCCTCTCTATACCTAGAGACGTTTACAGAAACCTCAAAACGGGTTTGCCCGACGTTTCTAGTGGGAGAGGAATCCCCATACGTCATTACTGTAACTAGCAACCCTTCCTACACAAGTGTCAAATAGACGTAGTAATGTGGAGAAATTCAAATACATTGGTACACAAGTCGTTATTAGTTTGACTAATAATTTCCTAGTATTGGAATGCTGTTTTTGCGATGTGTTAAGTTACCGTTAAAGTGTAGCAGCAAGCCAAGGTAGCAAACAATATCTATATTTTCAAGCAAATGACCCGTGATAATCTTCACGACTTACTGAAAAACATAATTTTGGTTTTAGATACATTAGCAGCTAGAGAACACTTTTCAGGGCAGTTGTGAAGTTCTTCCAGTATTGACTGTAAACCATGTATACTTTTAGAAAATAAAATCATGTTATCTGTGTACAATAATAACAAGTCTTGTAATTCAACCAGCTGTATACCGGCCAGTAGGAATTCAGATTCACAATTAATAAGCTAATCAGGATCGGGGAGATTACCCCCCGCCCCCTTGCAAAACACCGCGCTTTTTGTTTCTTTTTTTTTTCTTTAAAAGAGACAGTTTTCCCTCCAATGAGGACACGGGATTTGATATGACTTTACAATGAATTTACCATGAACACCAAGCTTAGCGAATTTATACATTATTTTAAATCGCTTTTTGGTTATCGACAAAAACGACAATACAGTTTTTCTCATTACAAATAAATTAACAATAAAGTGTTACGCAAATATTGCGTCATCTGCTCTCATGCCTGAATGGAAACCAAATGGGGCATTCGATAACATGTTGTTCTCGTCTGCCCAATTACTCAATCTCGTATTGAATACACAAATCAATGGTTTTATTATGTTTTTTGAAAGGCTAATTCCTCGATAGCAACTGGGTTCAGTCGCGTTGCCTTTATTTAATGGGGTCTGTCGTGTCGCCTTTTTTAATGGGCATAATAAAAGCCTCAAACAATACTTAATGGAAATATCCAATTCTAAACACAGCATTGAAGATTTTGTGTAACAAGGGAAGAAACAAGTAATTGATTTCAATAAAAAAATAATTTAGAAACTGGTCCGATCCGTGATTTTCTATCTTTTAAGTTTTGTAATTGCCGATTCGATTTCAGAAAGTGAGATACCATACTCTATCTTATCAAATATGTCTTCAATTTACAAACAAAACTTCCATCAGTATCACCACTTTAATCAGTCAAGTTCTTAATGTAATTCTAAAAAACCATCAAGATTTGCATTTTGTTTTACTTTCGATTTCGTTTTAAAGCCTTTACAAAAATTATTTTGGGTTGTCCCCTCTCAGCAAATCCATCATATTACTTTAAGATTTCAAATATGGTTTTCTTGAGACGAGGAATAATAAGATATTTTCAAAACATACGTATTTCACTTTACCATGGCTTGTCACATGACATATAGGGCTAACCCCTCCCCTTCTTCCCTTCATAGGAGGGACTGCGTTACTCCCCCTGTTACTTTGTATAGGTGAATGTAAATGAATGAGGGATTTCACAGTATCCACAAATGAGGTAAAACAGTTTTCGATACCAATTTACGTTGATAATCGTACTCGTCCACATTCCGGTAGACAACAGGCACACTGCATTCACTCCTACGCAAGAGACCAAATCGAACCATGTCCTTACACCAATGGCTTAATCATGAACGCAGCGTCAAACACCATTATCCCTTCACAAGGCAATTACCAAAGAAGCGACCTGTTCAAACAGCGACGGCCAAACCAATTCAGTCGCAGCCATCGCCATAGACTAATAGAATATTTCACCCATTGGAGGTGAGATAGAGGAATTTCAATCACAGAGGATTTGTTTAAAGTTAGTAAACACGAGACTTGGCGAGTTTTGTCGAGGTTTGAGAGATCTATCGATGTGACGCCAGTGAATTGTTACTGTAACGTCATACAATTGTCTTAACAAGGAAATATGCCCATCTCAACACAGGTGAGACTAATAGAATATTTCACCCGATTGGGGGTGAGATAAGTGGATCTCAACACGAGGCTTGCCGAGTGTTTGCAACTTAATAATCTTTTCCTCGTGGTTGAGATCACCCTATATCACAAGCAAAGGTGTGAATGATTATTTTTCTCTTACTCTGCTGGTTTTAGTAGGTGTTTGTGTGTGTGTGTTTGTTGTCCAAATGCTTTGTATCGTTGACGTGACGTCATATCATTTGTCCAGACAGGGAAATCCACCCTCACAGCCCTAGGGTGAAAAGCGGTGATTCACCTGTCCAGGATAAGAGAATAGAACATTTCAACCCCTTGAGGTGAGATATAGATAATAGGTGAATCTCAAACTTAGGGTGACAAACTCGAGGCTTGCCGAAGACCAATTAGAACTAACTGTAAAGGACTGCCTTCCTCGCCTTGTTACACAAGTCAACATTTTGACCATAAACTTGCACCTTCAAACATCTAGGTCTCATACCACCTTATCCAATACATTGGCAACCATCACGTCTACTTTGTTATAAAGGGAACTCCCATTCATCCAACTCTCTCCCCAAACCTACTGACGCTACCACGCATCTTATCCGTGGTCTGCGTACACATGTAAATCAAATATCAAATTACCTTAAACCACAGCTACAGAAGTATCACTAGCTGCATATTGAACAACAGCACAGCCTTGTCATCTCAAAACGAAGGCTCTTACATCACTGACGAGTCCAAGGACACAATAGATCTATGGTGCAGTTTAATTCATTCTTTGTCTCTGATGTTTAAATATAAATTTGTATTAACACGTTATTGATTTGAGTGTCTTTGGTACAGAGTATAGCTGATAGCAGAGAGACAGTATTGTGCTTTCCTTTGTCCCCAGTATTGTGGTAAAGAACAACAGCTGTTGTCTACAGTCAAACGTCCACCAACACCATTACATACCGCTATACATCACCTTTGGGATGGGTAGGTATACACTACTGAAACTCATACACTACATTCACAATGCATTTCCTTAAGATCAATTTTCAGGTTTTCTTCTATTGATACTATCTTGTCCAAATAATTTTACAAACTTTTTTGGAATGTTCATATTATTGACAGGCAAATGCAACCATCTCAGAAAGTTCAGAAAATTAAATTTTATTATGGCCATTTTCTATAATACAATATGATAATTTGTTTTCACCTATATCATTTGCAGGTTCCCTTTGGTCTTTTGTTGGCTTGTTTAATTTTGTAATAGCATTAAAAAGCACAACGACAGAGAGATGTACATGTCGACACTTGCAGATTGTTGTAACTGTTTCTCAAGATGCAAAATGATGGATTGTTTTGATATCTTCCATACACAAAATATATAGACTTCACATATCATCACTTTTTACAAACAAGGAAAGATTGCACCAGAAGGGAAAACCTTGGATAAGGAGAGATGAGGCAGTTTAATTCATTTGGTTATAATGTATTTAGTTCTAAATTTATATCTACTTGTGTGTCTTTTGTACAATCCCTTCCATAGAACTATTGTTAAATTCTAACAGTGATACAAGCTATTTGTCTCTCCTGGACTGATCATACTTTTCCAGCCTCATCACACAAAGTCTGATACTAATCCTATTATCCTAATGTTATTTGTCTTTTAGTGTTCCCCTCTCCCCTAGTTACCCAGGATAGTCCGCTAAACACTATGAATATACACTGAAAATGAATCACAGTCGAGTACAGTTTGTAAAATACTGATTCAGACTGAGGATAAAGGACTTGATATAGGGCGAAAAATGTGCTAGAACAGTGATTGTGATCATAAATTGCTACTGCCTAAAATTATTTAGGGCCTAACTTTTCACCTGAAGTTATGGACAGGATTAAGGTTTTCACATATTCACAAAAATAGTCTTTACATTCCTTCAGAACATTTTAAATCTTGGTAAATTTGTGAAAGTAAGAAATAACAAAATACTTTTTGCATTGTCTGGAAGTAGCCATTTTCCCCTGTAGCTAGAAGATTAACAAATGACAGCCATGACTTAAGATGGATGATAACTAGATTTACCAGAGTGTTCATAGCTTAATACTGTAAGTTGTTTTTTACCTACTCCTTGTAGAATTGCCTTCCAGGAAACCAATTACCATACAATGAAGTAAGACATCTATCATTTTTTGAAATTTTATGATTTTATTTTCATTTTAAACAAAGATGACACATTTTTTTTCATTCTGAAACAGTTTACATATAAATAAGATTATTTCTCTAAGAAGAGACCCAATCTTTCTGCCTCGTTTGAAAGTCTTCAAATAAGTTACAATCCGTTTGTAAACACAGATTATTCAGCAAGTATTTCTGGCTGAGGTAACATCACTTCCTCTCCTAAAGATTCTAACAGTTCTCGTCTGTAGTCGTCAAACCCTCCATCGATCTCATTCACAGTCTGATCCTCTACAACCCACAGTTGACAATCCGTCTCCCGAATCAGTCTTTCATCGTGGCTAACGATGATTACTCCTGCAAAGTTAGGTATGTTTTATTGAAATTCAGGAATACAAGAGGTACAAGTGACCTGTATCAGTTTTAAATACTAATTTTAGAAATGAATACTTGAGCATTATATTGCTTTCAGTTGGTATTTGTGGGCAATATAAAAGGCGACCGAAATCAAAGTAAATTCATTCTGTCTGCTGAAAGGCTGAAAGGTCGTAAAAATGGATGTAAGACCTGTTAAACAGCTAATTCAAAAGAATATTTTACATGAAATGAAGTCTTTCACTCATAAAGTTAAAGATACTGGTCAGTTATGAATTTATACTTGGCTTTGTGGTGTATCAGAATCAGATGTATTCACGTGATATTCACCATACTAATGCTAGTGTCAGGAGTTGAGCTTGAGCCTGGTAATATTGATAAAATTCTTACCTCCTTTATATGCGTTGATGGCTTCAGCGAGAGCGTCGATAGATTCAATGTCTAAGTTGTTGGTAGGTTCATCCTGAAACAATAATTACATGTAGGTATTTACTTGTGTGATGTACAATCGTGTTTAATATGAAGTCATACTGTAGTAATATATAAAGTATCAGTATGTACAAATTTGGTGAGTACTACATTGATATTCAATTGATACACATACAACACAATTTAACTAACTGGACATCAAGATGAACACACTCCAATGTCACTGACAATAACACTTACAAACTCAGTACCAAAGAAATTCAGAAATTCATATGTCAGGAATTTATTTTTCCATATCTGACGAATTTCTTCTACACTTACCAAAATAAGCACATCAGGAGCCCGACAGGACAGGTCAGCTAATGCGACCCTGGCCTTCTGACCTCCAGACAGATTGGTGATTTTGATTGTGTGGGCATGACTAGCAAGTCCAAATTTTCCCAACATCTTTCTAGATTCCTGGACTGGAAGATTGAACAGTCTCTGCAAGTAAGAAAAAAATCATGTCCAAAGTATTTCAAATGTTGATTTTGTTCCTAAGCATTATGTATTTTTACTGTCCTGAACAAAGAAATAAGGAAGTAACTTCTTAATTGTATAATAAAAATGAAAGTTAATAATTTCTATAGTCAATTAAAAAATATTTCATTGTCAATATAACTTAAATACTTGTATATACTAATATCAAGTTCAACAGGAAGACAAGTGATGACAATATCAGTCTATTCTATATTTCTGTAAAGTTAATACGATAAAGACCCAAAGTTCGTCTATTAAATGCTTGTAACAATAACCATTAGATGTAGAAATGGAATCACTGATAGAGCTGGAGATATCAATTTGAGGCGTCTCTCTTTTGTATCATAGATATCTGGTTATATTTTATCAAAATTGTTTTTATTTCAAGTATTAAATAATATATATCCACAATGTTTCTCAAATCATGGAGAGAAATTTATATTTTTTCAAATATAAAGTATGAAATTTATTTGTTGTACAACAATAACGAAACTAATGTAAGCTCATATTAATCTCTCTCACTGACTTGGACAGAAGCCTGCAGAGAGTGTTACTATGGGAGGAAGCCAGAGTACCCAGGGAAAACCCATGTGGTTGGGTAGGTGACCCCATACCTTTTCAAGTTCATTTTTGGAATGGAACACTGGACACCTAGGTGAAAGGTGTTAGCACTGCTCCACCTGACCACCCAAACTTTTTGAAAATTTTGCAAAAGCTTACAGGACTAAATACATGGTGATCATGTTGATTAACAATACTTAAAACTACCTGTAGGTACTCCACAGCAGATTCATCTGCATTTAGCTGGTCACCTGAGTGCTGATCATATTTACCAATTCTCTGTAAAAACAAATATCACTACCATCAAACACTATATGGATATCATTGGTGAATATCATGACACAAGCAATATTATCAGTCCCTAACTGAACAAGAAGAAAATTGAAGAGGTTTTCCTTAATTTTTTTCTGAACAAAACACACATATGGGAACAGAATACCACTCTTTCATGCTATTTAAACCCATCCTTGTGATGTCTCAGAAACTAGCTTTGAATATGGCCATCTTTGGCTTCAAAGTAACCCAAAAGTATCTGTTAATGACCATGAAGTGATAATTTTTTATAAAGGTGAGCTTGTTACAGCTTCATCTATTACCCTATAATGACAGAGTGAAATCATGTTAAGTCAATCTATAGGTCTCTATCAATCAAATATTTATCTGACAAGAACAATGCCAGTTTACAGGATGAGAGCTGTTAACTAGAAAATATAGGGCCAGGCTATATGTAGTGTGGAAACTACTCTCTAATCGGAAACCAACTTGCTACTTAAACTACTGACCAATCAGAAAACAGCTACCAAACCAATGACCAATCAGAAATAAGCAACCTCTCTAAACTATTTACAGATCAGAAATTAACTACTTTTCTAAATTACTTATTTTCAGATGTCGGCGGATACCTTGCTAAACTATTGACCAATCAGAAATCAGCTTATTACATAAACAATTGACCAATAGGAATTAAACTTGCATCCTATCTACTGACAAACCAGAAATCAGCTGGCTACCTAAAAAATCACCCCATCTGATATTAGCTACCATCATAACTATTGACCAATCAGAAATACGCTGTACCCCCATATATATATATATAATAGTATGTAGTAGAATATTGTGAGGACAATCAATATTTCTCATCTCCTCATAATAGAAAGAAAGTCAATATTGACAGAAAATATTTTCTAAAGTTACGGGGAAAACTGAGACAATCAACGATAGAATTCCAAATATAGACAGTAACGACTTACTATTCTGTGGTTCTTCCTTACTTCTCCATTTACCTGAAATGACAAAATAAAAGTGAAAGAATGCTACCATTTTACCCAGCTATTCCTCCATGTTGAAAAATTTGCCGAATCCATTTTAATAGTATGAACAAATCACAGAAAATCAATATTGTTACTTTAGTACAAATTCTACCAGAATGCATTAGATTCTCAAATTTTACATTCCATTTAAAATTACTGCATAATGATTCGTGCCAATTATAACATAAATATTGATCTGCCTGTAATTACATCAGATTTAACTTCATTCACTTACTGGATCTAGTTCCTGTGTCAGCAGTTTTAGGAATGTACTTTTTCCAACACCATTGGGTCCAACTATAGCAACTGTAGACAGATCATTATAAATACAATCAATAACACAATGTAACCAACTGTTAAAAAACAATAATTTGAACACTGAGTTTCATATCTTAATCAAGAATTTAAGAATGAAAAGGCTCCTGTATGTGTTTTATTTCCATATATAAATCTCGTTCTGATAGATTTTTTGCTTAAAATCTGAATCAAAGTGAAAGATTTTTCTGTTGACTGACCAGTAACTTTAACAAATGGTCACCAGCATCACTCCTACATATCCACAATGACTCTCTGTAAGTTACTTACCTCTAGAACTCATATCAATTCCAAAATCCAGGTTCTTAAACAATATTTCACTTTTCTTGTACCAGAAATTAACATCTGCAAAAATTAAACATAAATTTGTTCTTTTCTGCTTCCAAAAGAAAATATTCTGTAGCACATCTAATGAAACATGAACACCACATGGCTGAACAACATACATTCGACCCATGCCAAAGGAACATTCCTGATTAATTGTATTAGAATGAATACAAGTATGGAAATGGTATTAGTGAATCAAAACATGGAGAGGGAAAAAGAAATTTCAAAGAAATTGTTTGAAAACTAAGGGAGGAAATATCTGTGGCAAAAAAAAACTCAAAAAAAAAAAAAAAAAAGTCTATGTAATGGTTATGATGACTACCAAGTGCCAGGGAAATTGGCTATAAACTGAGAGCATAGATCTTCATACAAAATTAAAATGCCGAAAAATGCAAAGGGCAATAACTCTTTCAAAAACTGTAGGCATGATTTGCTGTGTAAGAAATTGGTTAAGAACTGGGAGCATAGATCTCTGGACAAAATCAACATAATGAAACAAGAAAGTAAGATTTCAAAATAAAGCTGAATCAAGCTGCCATTCTGGAAACATTGTGAAAACAACAACTTACTCCTAGCCCCGAGGATTGGAGGGTTGCGCGGTGTGGGACTGTACAACGTAAAACAACTTACTCATAGCCCCCAGGATTGGAGGGGTGGGCGGTGTGGGACTGTACAACATAAAACAACTTACTCATAGCCCCGAGGATTGGAGGGTTGAGCGGTGTGGGACTGTACAATGTAAAACAACTTACTCATAGCCCCGAGGATTGGAGGGTTGAGCGGTGTGGGACTGTACAATGTAAAACAACTTACTCATAGCCCCGAGGATTGGAGGGTTGAGCGGTGTGGGATTGTAGAAACTTAAAAACAACTTACTCATAGCCCCGAGGATTGGAGGGTTGAGCGGTGTGGGATTGTAGAAACTTAAAACAACTTACTCATAGCCCTGAGGATTGGAGGGTTGAGCGGTGTGGGACTGTACAATGTAAAACAACTTACTCATAGCCCCGAGGATTGGAGGGTTGAGCGGTGTGGGATTGTACAACATAAAAACAACTTACTCATAGCCCCCAGGATTGGAGGGTTGAGCGGTGTGGGATTGTACAATGTAAAACAACTTACTCATAGCCTCGAGGATTGGAGGCTTGAGCGGTGTGGGATTGTAGAAACTTAAAACAACTTACTCATAGCCCCGAGGATTGGAGGTTGAGCAGTGTGGGATTGTAGAAACTTAAAACAACTTACTCATAGCCCCGAGGATTGGAGGGTTGCGCGGTGTGGGACTGTACAACGTAAAACAACTTACTCATAGCCCCAGGATTTGAGGGGTGGGCGGTGTGGGACTGTACAACATAAAACAACTTACTCATAGCCCCGAGGATTGGAGGGTTGAGCAGTGTGGGACTGTACATCGTAAAACAACTTACTCATAGCCCCGAGGATTGGAGGGTTGAGCGGTGTGGGATTGTAGAAACTTAAAACAACTTACTCATAGCCCCGAGGATTGGAGGGTTGAGCGGTGTGGGATTGTAGAAACTTAAAAACAACTTACTCATAGCCCCCAGGATTGGAGGGGTGAGCGGTGTGGGATTGTAGAAACTAAAAAAACTTACTCATAGCCCCGAGGATTGGAGGGTTGAGCGGTGTGGGATCTGGGAAATGGAACTTCACTGTATAGTCTTTAGGCCGTTGTAACAATTCAGTCTTTTTTTCTTCCTCAGCAAACACTTTCTGTTTTTCTCTGTTCTTCTGCTGTTTTCTAGTCAAGGCTTCCTTCTGTTTTGCTTCCTATAAAACATAATTGAAATGCCACATACTGTTCTATACAAAAACACTTATACCAGAAGAACAGCCAGAGGAGGAGACATCTTCAGGGTCACTTTGAAGACATCTTTGTGATTTGCATCCAGCCTTTCTGATAAATCTCATCCAGATAAATGTGACAAGATACATTAAAAGAATGTACACATACACTGATACAATGTTTATAATCACAAACACAATGTATATTTACTTCAGTAAAATGTACACATACACTGATACAATGTTTATAATCACAAACACAATGTATATTTACTTCAGTAAAATGTACACATACACTGATACAATGTTTATAATCACAAACACAATGTATATTTACTTCAGTAAAATGTACACATACACTGATACAATGTTTATAATCACAAACACAATGTATAATTACTTCAGTAAAATGTACACATACACTGATACAATGTTTATAATCACAAACACAATGTATAATTACTTCAGTAAAATGTACACATACAGTGATACAATGTTTATAATCACAAACACAATGTATAATTACTTCAGTAAAATGTACACATACACTGATACAATGTTTATAATCACAAACACAATGTATAATTACTTCAGTAAAATGTACACATACAGTGATACAATGTTAATAATCACTAACCAAAAGAAGCTAAAACTAGCACAACATTGTATGTGGTAATTTATGTAGGTTTTTTTGGTGGTTCAAATTTTAGCAGTTTTAACAACGCCTGAACTGCAAAGAATGATTATTTTCAAGGGAGTCACATAATGGCTGGTTACCTTATCTTAATACTTTTTGAAAATACAGCGCGTCTTTTTCTCATGAGTTTATTCCATCCTCCAAATTACTGACAAATACAAGTCCCTGATAATAATAAGTTTTACAGTAATACATATTTTTGAATCGTAGGATTGTAGTAAGGTATCAATTTCTTCTCTTTCCGAGTACAGTGAGAAACAAGGTATTATTTAGAAAATAATGCTTTGAATTTTCAAATCTGCACATTGAACTAAGTTTACTGACAAATGTTACGGGAAGTTATTAAATAAAAGCAAGGAAATAATTTTACATTTGTAGATATGAAGATATCAACTATGTGGTCATGATGACCTGGTACTGGTGTGACCTGTAGGGGAAGTTATCAGGGTTGTAAAACCGGATCACTGGGTAACTAATACATGACATGGAAACTGTGCCAGGTTTTACCATCAACAATGTTCCTGTTTAAGATGATCACTTAAAAATGTATTGCGGAAAAAGAAAGTTAGATAAGAATGAAAGATATTGGTTTTTTATATTTTGTGTTAAGTAGGCTACATAGATACAGAACAGGGTTTTCCTATTTTTTGATGAGCTTTGATAAAGGGATTAGGGCGTATTAAACTAGTTTAATGCCAAGTTACAAGAGCAGGAAAATAAAATCTGAATTTTATAAATTTCAGAACTGTTGCCTGGATAGCTGACTAATACGCCTGCTCTTACAACTTCCCCCCCCTCCCCCCATGGGGTAGGAAAAGAGAGTCTAGTTAAAAAAAAAGGTGGGGTGGGGGGGATTTCTTAACAAAATACATAGTAGGACAGCATTGCTATTTTATTACTTATTTAATGTGGACACATATGCATGCAAAACTGCCAAAAATAAAAAGCTATTTTCAAACATCGCAATCACTATGGGTTAAAACCTTGATTTCATTACCTATAGCCATTGTGTTTCATTTGTCATTGTGTGTGAAGCACCATTCGCTGTACATAAACTTTCAATTCAATCAACTTCTAATGATCAAAAGGCCAAGAGTACTTCCGTTAGGTTTGTAGCATGCTTGGACAAAGGGGTACCAAGTTTAATCATATGAATGACTTTGACCCACTCTTAAAATCTTTAAATGACCTCCTCTTAATAACCAAAAGTCGCAGATTGCTTAAATCTTGCCTGTAGCATGCTTGGATGAAGAGCTACCAAGTGCTTTTTTCCCCAAATGAAAGAATCTGAACAAATTTCAAGGTCATAAGGGTCAAATGTGTTAAAAACCTTCTAACAACTTCTTTTAATAACCAAAAGGTCCAAGCCATTAACATTGCTTCTGTAATATCAGTTGATAAAGGATGACCCAGTTCTGTTTCAATGATTGACCTTGACCCACTTTAAAAGTCACTCGGGGTCAAATGTGTTGAAAAATATTTTTTTGTTTCTGTCAACAAGTAATAGGTCCTGGGTCAAGGTATTCTTGTAAAAGCATATACCAGGAATAGGGTTTCAAGTTTGCAGAAGTTGACTTTATGAACTAACTAAAAAACCTGTAGAAAAGGTAACTAATTTTGGCTCATTGGGTCATATGACTGTCTTGTTTATTTTGTTCACATTGTGCATATATTATATACATTATCAACAGACATGAGTTTTAAGACCAAAGAAAAGTGATTGATTAGTCCCTGAGAAAGGTATAGAAAAAGTATAAATAAATTTAAAAAAAAAAAAAAGAAGAAAATAGAAATAAAAGGGCCAATATGTTTTCATCATTGATCTGGTATTTAATGCACAAATTCACAAATACATTATTTCACATCAATGACATTCAAATCATTTTCTAGTTCAACAAATTTGACCCCTGTGACCTTGGTTATAACTCAAGGTCATTTCTTTTTGTAAGCACAATCAGGATTCATCCAAAAAAACTACCAACCAAATATCATGAATCTAAATCTTTTGGTTGATAAGAAGAAGTGGTTTGGTCGCTTCAATAAATCTGACTGCCGTGACAGTTCAAGGTCATTTCTTTTAAATGAAGTCCAGAAAAACATTTTTGGATACACAGCAATTTAAAACAGATGGCTTGTTATTAAGTTTACAATCTATACCACTGATTCACCCTTTTTCTTCACTCATTGCAAACATTTTACGGATTCAGACAAGACATACATAACATTACAAATGTGTCCTCACACACGTTTGCTTTCATACTTACACACATTGTTCACATTTCGCATATGAAATACATGAACACAAATACACACACACACACTTGAAGTCTTACATGTTAATGATTCCAACCAAATTGTGAATTACAAGCATTTTCGTGACTAAGATGAAATTACAATAGCCATCATTTCCTAGCACAGTAAAAAGTAATAATAATATGTTTAAGTACAGTGTTTTTGCAAGACACACGCAAACATAAAATAATGTAAACATAACATAAACAAACTAAACATCGTAGCACAACACGATGCTCACTCCTGTAGAATTTTAATCCTAATATCAATTAGTTAATTGTTCCTATTGAAAATGCATTTCCTTGTTACATTGTTATTACACAAAAGGCTACATACCTTGCACACAATATACATTCCTACATTTATACATAGATACACAAAAAAAGTCTAAGCTCGGTGTGAAAGGGTGAGCTAGGTCAGAAGGCCTGACCCTGTCATTTCTGCTAATGTGTATTGTATTTTCACATACTTGGTAATTTAATACTTTATATCATATAACAATCTAGTATTATTCCAAATAAATCAAACTTTAATAAAACCTGTTTGAGATTAGTTTATGATATTTGGAAATACCAATTTGAATCTATTTGCTATTGCTGTAGAAGCTTTTTGGTGGTCAATGTTTTTTTAAGTATCGCATATTTTTATCTTTCTTTGGATTGGGTGTGATAACTCCTTTGAAGTTCTGAAAGACAACCAGTACTTGACAATTTTCGTAGTTTTCAAAGCCTCAGTTAATTTGTTTATTGATAAAATTCCTTCACAACTATCTTTATCAGTTTGATTTTATTTGATCTAATATATCTAAATATTATGAATTTTCAACTTGGATTGAGTCTGGTTGTTTAGAACTATAATGATTTATTAAAAAATCAACCTCGGTCTGGATTATCTCCCTTGGATTAACGAGAATTCCAACATCTGTAATCAACTCTGTTACAGATTTACTTGTTAAGTTCCTTTATCCTAAATCACAAAAATATTCAGTTGCCCTTACTCCATTCTCATACCAATTTGCCATAGATCTTTATTATCAACATATCTAAACTTCCTTAATATTTCTCTAACTGATTCAACTTGATAATAGTGATCTTAGATACAGTTGTGGGATCACACAATAGGAAAACTAGACAAAATGAGCTATTTGTGCACATGTTAGCTGTTCTTTTAGACAAAGGTGCAATTCTATCGTGGTTGATATAAATTTAGAAATGACATGTGAATTTATTTTCTAAATATATAAGAATATAACTAGGTATATTTTTAAATTAAGTCATTAATATATAAGCCAGACATGTGTACATCTATCAGGAACTGACTGAATAGTTATATACATTAGTAGTTTAGAGTGTTTTGTTTACAAAGTGCCACAGGTGACCGGTCATTGTGTATAGAGACTCATTATATATACATCATACATGTTAACATTAAATGGACATCCTTTATGTCTTGACGAGGAATTCTGTGTTACTCTCTTGTAAACAAGAAATGTATATGCTAAGGTAAATTTTAAGTGTTATTTTTGTTACATAGGAAACCTAGCCGGTACGGATCTGGATATGTCATGTATATGTTGCCCGAGGTACATCCATCTCCACTTTCTAAAGTGTGAAACTATACACTAGAAAGACTTATTAATGCAAGGTCTGGTGTTATATGGAAAACTGTTAAATTAAAAATGACTTTCATAATCACAGATCAATGTTTAATACACTTATGATCGCTATTTAGTAATAACTACACAAGTTTTCCATCCAATTTTTAATCATTAACATTTCTGAACCATTTTTACCAAACAGTACAAAATGTGCAATCTTATCACACTGTTGGGCTACAAAGTATGGTGCCTGTATGTAGATGATGTGTGCAGGATACATGCACAATGTGTACAAAAAGTTTTGGTACCTTTCGGCCCAAATACAAAAAAATATAGTTCCACATTTTGATAACAACTCACATCAATGCTTTATTTAATGTTCAACAGTTTCACTTCATAGTGCTAAAATGATCTGGTCCTTCGGAAATAGAAAATTAAAGGTGAGATCCATCAAACTTAACACTGACTGGGGTGACTGCATTAGCCCCGCCTCATGTTCAACCTTGGGTCTGCATTGCTCATCATTAACACTCATAGTCTTGGTAATAAAAGCAGGTTCTCTCATTGATATACCATTGACCCTTATCTTTTCTTTTTTTATCTATTTAGAAGTTAATCTGGATAGAGGTTCAGGAGATATTCTGTGCACAAACTTAAAATACATGTATATGCCTTAATTGCATTTCGGTTTCCTTCAACTGTCGAGTTTGTCAAATAGTCTCCATACTGATCAGTATCATATACCCTTTTAGAAACTGCTTTAACATTTAGCACATGCATTCCTCATGACTTTTCACTCAACTCTCAGGTCTTTTTTCCCACTCATTTGGGAATGATTCTTTTCATCTCACTTTTGAGAAAAAAAATAATCAGATGGGAAGGAAATTTTTAGGAGTAAACTTTTTTGAGAATTTGGCGATATGAAATATATAGTGTTGAATTGGACCTATATTCAGCCCAATAGAGTCACTGGAAAAAGGCCGGACTGTACCACACCTTTGATGTATTTCTAAAATGTCTTTCAGTTTACTGTCCTTGACTTTATGTTTGCTTAATACTTAGCCTTCATGAAAAGCTTAGCCTTGTGGGCATTATTTTTCTCAAACATATCTTGTTATTTCAAAAGAGGTAAATGGTGAACTTTGACCTTTAACTGATGACCATCAAAAGTTAATAAGGTGATTACCTTGGTGTGGTGATGTTTATATCTTATCATCATACCTTATACACAAGACTGTCACAGATGCAGGGACACATGCTCCCACTACCGCAGGCATCCACACATGCTCAGACACAGACACAGCGACAAAGTGATTACTATACACTATACTATAGTGGTGAAATGAGAGGTCATCTGAATTGTTACAACTTTGACCCTTGTGACCTTGAATATTGACTGAGGTAGTTTTTCTGTATTAACTTTGTCGGACTTCATCCCAGGCATGTTTCTGCCAAATATCCAATTTTAGGCTTTGTGCTTGATCAGAGAGGTGGCATTTGAATGGTTTTTTTTTTTTCAAATTTGATCACTGTGACCTTGAATATGGGTCAGGTCATTTCTATAATCTAACTCTATTTGTCTTCACTTCAGGAACCTTTTCAGCCAAATATAGTTTATAAGCTTTTTGGTTACTGACAAGAAGTTGTTTCATGGGAAAAGTTGACACCAGACAGACAGACGTTATATACCATACCTATGCCTAAGCTCACCTGATACGCCTCCCTATATCACAATTATTGCCATAACAACCGATGTTAGCAACAGTCAAAGTTAGGGACATTCACTGTTACTGGCAGTCAATGTTTTGTGGCAAACATAATGTAATTTTGAATGTTTATCCTAAAACAGCATTAATATTTGACTTTGCATATATAGTGTATACAGTCATAACAAATTGCATAAAACCATAAGTATACAGACATCGGCAAAGGGAAAAATACAAACGACATCTGGTGTAGAATACACTCACTGTGGTAGATATCATCAGAATGCACATCTTACAATAAGATCTCATTTCCAATACTAGTGATCATCAAACCACATATCATAACACCTTTGCTCCCTTTATTTTTCATAATCTTTTACAGGAAATTTTATTTGATAACATTACAAAAAAATTCAAGATATGAAGGTGATGTAGAGACTATGGAATCTTCAGCGTGTTTAAAACATTAAACTGACAACAGGTTTAGAGATAAACCACTTTCCTCTTGTTAAGAGATATATAATTTACAGCTATTTAGAGATAAACCACTTTCCTCTTGTTAAGAGATATATAATTTACAGCTATTTAGAGATAAACCACTTTCCTCTTGTTAAGAGATATATAATTTACAGCTATTTAGAGATAAACCACTTACAGCTTGTTTAGACGATTTTCCTGAGGATTTCATCTCCTTCAACATCTTCTCCTGCTTTTCATAGGCTTTCAGCTGTTCTTTACGTTTTTGTACCAACATCTTTTTAAATGTTCCTAAAAGAAACCAAAACTGACAGAACTAAAAAAGTTGAAATAAATTTTCGACGTGAATGATTAATGCACTCAGTTGTTGGAAGTGACAATAACATCTCATTTTCTGCTGACAGGATACTAACTTTATTTATCTAGCAGGTTGATACTTTTTCAAACATTTTCTTTCATAGGCTTTTCCCTGTCTTTCTTGTAATCTTTTTAATGTTGTACTACAGCTTCCATAAAGCTAGCAGCAAAGTGTAGCTATCAAGGAACCTGTTAAGACTAGGATAAATGATTCATTAGAACCCCTGGTATTTTGACTTAATATCTGTACAACTGGATAAAAAGGATATGGTGGTCCTGGACTTCTTGACTTACCATAGTTTCCCCTGTAGTAGAATAGTTTCTGCTGATCGAGGTGGATGATATCTGTACACACGTTATCAAGGAAACTCTGGTCATGGGATACCACAAGTAATGTTTTTTTCCAACCCTGTAGATAACTGACAGAGCATACAAAATTAAATACTGTCGCAACTAAAACATTCAAGGAATCGTTAAATTCATTAACATTTTACAAAATTGATTACATTTTCATACACTGAATGTAATTCTCAAAGTAAAAAAAACAATAAAGAAATTTTGGAAAGCAAAGCCAAATAGGTATGACGGCCACACTCAAACTGAGGCTTGTTGGATATCATGAATTTGATACAATACTAATAAAGCACCACAATGAAATGGTTTAGGGTTTATGTCAATTCAAGGGAGGCTATCTACTTTTGTAACTCATGATTTCAAAGGTAACTATCTTTGCTTTTTTCAATCTTTTCTTAACATGTAATTAATTTGGATAGAACAAACAGAGGAAATGGTCTTTCCCAATAATATTCATACAACATTTATACACACACGTTTCCATTTAATAGATTAGAAACTTGAGCTTTAGGAAACCTGTCGAAGAATTTTCATTTTACCTTGACAGAAATGTATCTAATTGAAGCTTCTGTTTATCACACCTCAAATGAAATGTAACTTAATGAAGATTCTTCTTATCACATAACTGAAGATATATGTATGTCTGCAGGATTTCATGAAAATTGTATTCCCCAAGATTGGTATGAAATCTAAGTGTTATCATACATATGACCATCATAAAATACATGTAATGGGTGTTTTAATTACTCTGATAAGAAGGTGGCTATCTAATAAATAAGTAATAAATAAATAATAAACATTAAATAAATAACAATAAATAATAACAGTTTCTAATAGGCATTATTCTTTGTGCATTGGAGTTCTTGGTTCTACAGAACATAGGCGCTAAAAATCCTCGACGACATCATATTTTGTTCAACTTAACAGTCATCCTATATAAAGAAATCATCCTTTTCTGTTATTTTTTATTCATATCGAGTAGATAAAATAGAGGTAGTGTAGTATTTATTTTTTCTATTTATATTTTCAGTAAAATGAAGACAGGGAAGAACTTGGAAGTGATAATACTGGACATTGTCAGGATTTGCTGTTCTATACCATCTTTATCATCAATGACTACCTACAGGATTAAATTTTGTTGAAAATGAAACGACTGTGTTCTTTCCAACAGATATCATATCTAAAATGTAATTTCAGCCAGATGAAAACACAAACCGAGAACGACACATCAAACAGAATACACCTACTTATCAAGCCAAATGACCGCATTGAGATCCAGATGATTTGTAGGTTCGTCCAACATAAGCAGTGTGGGTTCAATAAACAGGGCCCGTGCTAATGACACTCTCATTCTCCAGCCTCCAGACAGTGCGACAGTGGGTCGGTTCATCATCTCCAAGGTAAAGCCAAGACCAGCCAGAATTCTCCTTGCTTTGGGTTCTGCTGCATCAGCTCCAATAGCTATCAGCTCCTCATATACCTAAAAAACCCCACAAATACCAGCTTGTCATGTATTCCCACAATATAACAGTTATGTGTTTCCTTGAATTTAAACTTTGAACTGGGAGGCAGACAATGGAGGGAACAGCGTTAGATTGAACACATAATCAGTAAGATGTGAAGCTGTATAAAAGGTGTGTAAATGTATATTTCTGAGCAGAATTTTGAGTAATTCCACTTGTTATCATGTGTATTGCATACTCAACATCTCAAATCTTTATCCAAAGTCAGTGTGCAATTGGGGTCAGGTGTAGGTAAAGGGAGATAACTTAATTTCTTTACACTTTATCATCCACAGTAACATTACTGCAAATCTTGATAATTTTTTTCATACCTCTTTTAGTCGATCAGCATTTTTTGTTATTCCTTTCTCCTGCTCAGCAAATAATGCTTTCTCCTCTGCCATCAGTTCTGTTCTCTTAACATCTGCCTTTAATACAGCATCAATGGAGGGTGTTTCATCAGCCACAACCTCTGTAAGGAAAGTTTATATACATTTTACATTTATAATATAGGTAGCTATGGATGAATTTTCTAGGTGGAAAAAAATCCTTTAAATTAATAAAACTGAAAATAGAATACATGAAAAAAAAATCTCTCTGAACATTTCATTTTCATGTATCATAATTCACAGCAGTTTACATTGATGAGAAATAAAAAAAAAACCCAGCATTATTGTGAGCAAATAAATTTTTTAGACTGCAATCCAAAGATAACCGAAATAATATTAAAAAAAAACTGTAATGAAAAGTAGAGAACATTGGTTCAATACATTGCTTATAAATTGAACATATCAATGGTTCAGCCTTATTATACTGACAACAGCTTTCTGAAGTTGTGACCCAGTCCTGCTCACCCAAACATTAATACCACTAAATATGATCCATTTGACTTACAATGTTTATCAGGTATATCAAAACAATTTAAGTACCAAGTAATGCCCATGTAAACAATGGAAATCTTTACTGAAATTTAACTCTTCATCGGAAAATCAAACTCAACACCACAGGAAGCTTCATACAAAGTCTGTCTATTCTTAAATAACAGAACATTTATTGTTACTTGTAATGGGGTGGAGATCTTCTATGAGTTGTAATACATAGAGTATTAACATTTCACAAACAGTGAAACAGAACTCACCCTGCTCACAGTATAAAACATCTATATTAGACGGGATGTATAGAGCTCTTTTCTGTATGTGTCTCAGCAATGTAGTCTTTCCATGTCTGTGAATGAAAATGTTTAGAGCATTCACTGAATAAGTATAGACAGATTTCAGAATGTGCATCGGGGAATATGTGTGAGTGAAGGTGTGTACTCAGGTGAGATACATACAGAGATCTGTTTGATAATGATCTAAACATCTGATACACAGACAGAGATCTTTTAACAGAGTACCAGGTGTCATAATTTAATGTATTTTGTCTAAAAGAATTACAATAAGTAATGCTAAAGCTGAACCAACAGCCATATTTTTTCAGTTTACCCGTTAGGTCCGACGAGTCCATATCTGCGTCCTGCCGTGATGTGAAGACTAGCATTCACAAATAGATCTTTTCCTGCTGCAGATATAGAGAAATTTTCCACCTAAAACAGAGAGAGAGAGGAAACAGTGACAAGCATTCTGCCATTGAAGAGGAAGCACTTTGTACAAAGTATGTTCAATTCATAAATATTATGTAGTATTTACTGTAGCATGTGACTTACTTTAATCTGTGGAAAATATATAAGTTTATAGACTAATCATACATATACAGGTGAACTTATATGTGTGTTGTGTAATAGAATCTTACATGGGTCTGTTCTAAGAGAGGGATATCTATTTTGTATAAAGTTTTGGCTGGTCAATATGAGATTGGCCAAACTCTTACACGAGGGTTGAGATATCCCTGTCTATAAAACAGTTTAATTTCTATCCTCACACATCTGAAAATCTGTGACAAATTGTAAGTGGTTGTGAAATCCATTCATTGTTCTATCTTATTTTTATATCTCATCTTATTCCTATAACTACCCCCATATTTGCCGTCATGGGACCACCCTGTGAAGTATGCAAGATAAAATAATCTTATTCCTTTAACTATCAACCACTAAATCTCCCTCTGATATGAGATAAAGTTACCACATCCCTATACTAGCCATCATGGGATTGCCCTGTGACGTTTTTGAGAAATAATCTACATACTAATGATACTAATTACCTTGATGTCAAGTTGGTTGTCAAGTTGTGATGTTTTAGAGGACCTCTCTGCTTGTGACACTGAGAACTGTTCTATACTATCAGGACCAAGGCTCTCCAACTGTTTCTGGTACTCCATCTGTAAAACAAAATATCAGTTAGCATAGAAATATTATCTAGTACTCCATTATTGTATTAAGTACTTCCCAGGGGCACCCAGCATCTTTTTGATATTCACCTGATAGTCAGGTCTTTCCTTTTCCTTCCTTTCTCTTCTTTCTTCTGTTTTTGAGCTTAATTAGAAATAATTTGAAAATTCTTCTTTTGGGATAATAATATTTAACTGCCATATCCAAGATGGTCACCTGTCATCCATCTTGTTTATCTGATATGTTTCGAAATCAAATGGGCACAACTACAGGCCAAGGGATGTGTTCATATGAAATTTGAGAAAGATCCATTAAAAAATAGTGTTAACAACCTATGATAATAAAAAAAACCAAGATGACCTCTATCGGCCATCTTGTCTTTTTTATCAGTCCCAAAATGAATTGTACCTATGTACAACAAGGAATCAAAGTGAACCTACATATACAATTGAGAATTATCCATCCAGTGCTTCTCAAGAGATATCTATAATAGGTAGTATTTCAGGATGGAAAGATGATGGATAAAATGTCATTTAAATAGGTCACCATCTGATGATGACGGGCTAACAAACACCATTAGTAACCACAAATAAAGTAACTAGAACGACATAAAAAAACCGTCAGTAAGTGATAGTGTCTAGTATTTCATCTAAAAACGAAAACATCAGTAACCATAATGAAAGTATCTATTGCTCCACCTGCAAATCAGTAACCAATTTATATCTAGTAATAGTTTAATAAAAAATCTACAGGGATAAAAGTTTCATTGAAGTTAAGACCGAGATGTAAGGATTAGTAACAATGATTTCTCTTGTTAAGAGATTACAAAGTGTGTGCAACTTCTCTCATATCCTACAAACCTTTTTCTTCATTTTCTTTAGTTCTTTTTTACTAAGTTTTGGTTTTGCTTCTTCTTCCACTTCCTCTTCTTGACTTCCTGTAACAGAAATGGGTTCTTTTTATCAAAAATCAATATATCAATTATCTCATTAAGAGAAAAAGGTTAAGTTCGGAACCAACACCCGGATGCCAAGAGCTTCCTTCTGAGGTAACTAGCTGTGTGTATTTATTCACTATATAGTGACAGTTGACCAGTTTTGAATCTTTAGTGATGCTTCATCAGAACTGTCATTTTCACTGAAGTAATTAATTAAAGTTCAGTTCAGGTGGACGTTCATAAGAATCCCACATTCAAGCTTGTTTAAAACAATGACTTTTAAATAATTGGATTTCATCCATTTTGAACTACTTTATATTGAAAGTACAGTTCATGCAGTTGTTCTATTTATAGCATCAATTGTTAAATCTATTTTTAAACTTCTTAACTGCATGAACTGTACTTTAGCTAACTACTTAAATGTAAATGATGGTTCTAATGAAGCATCACCTAAGATGTGAAACCGTTCAACTATCACTATGTAGCAAATGAATACAAGAATTGGCTTGGTGTGTTGAGGTAGTATTTCATCATATCTACCACATAACAATCACAAAACAGTTACTTATATGTGAAGTATATCGTACCTAGTTTTTATTATGATTCTACCTGGTTTTCCCATTATAATGATCACACATGCTAACATTATGGCAGTTGGATAAGAAATTTCAAGTTCTAATTGACAGATCAGCTTACCTTTTTCCTCGTCACCATTCATATCTTCTTCAGCATCCTCATCATCATACATATCTGGTGACACTCTGTCGACTTGGGAAGGTTTCTGTGTTTTTGTTTCCTCTTTTGTATCTGTGGACTAAATAATAAGAGCTTAGTTACTTTACAGTTTTAACATGTTAAGTGATTAGTGCTTGACTACTAAATATATTGATTACGAAAAGCAATCATGTTTCTTTGAACTGTATTCCAAGATAAAGTTGATGTTAATCATAAGTATCTCATTATTTTCCTTAAAGTTTTACAAAAAGAAGAATTTATGTTAAAATTGTATGGAATAAGCTTGAACTAACCTCTTCTTCTTTTGAAGCCTCTTCATCCCCTTCATCCTCAGCAGCCAAAAATTCTGCCAATTTTTTCAGCTTTGCAGATTTACCCTAAAATTATTAACGTGTCAACCATTCAAATTTGATATGTCTATGAACAAGTACCTTTTTGTGAAGACTAGATTTCGTGGATAAATATAGCTTAAATCTACTTATATTAATTTTAACAGCTGGTGGACATGAGAAAAAAATGAAGAATTTGTGGATTAAGATATTAACATTTGGAATATCACTACAACAAATCAGTTCTCTATCAATGAATTGTTTACATTGGGAATAGAATTTTGTCAGCTGAATCATAAATGTATTATTAGTAATCAAAGTTGTACACCTGTACAATTTATCACAACACTAATTAAGGTATTGCCAGAGGGCCTGAATTCGAAGTCACCCATAACCAGAGAAGTTTTGCACCTTGAGCTCATGTGAATGAAACATCAAAGACCAAAGCTGTACTTGTAATATTGTCATGAGCTGAAGTCTTACGGCATTGTTGGTCACTTAAATCAGCATTTAATTAGGTCATTTCTGTTGGATGTTTATGGAAATTAATTATCAGATATGGGAAATATACAAATTTGATATTATCTTCCAACAGACATTTTACTTGTTATGTTGATGATGAGAACTTAAGGAACAGCGATGAACATGTTGACACGATCCGAGAGAAATTCTTTCCCAACTGTTGCATGACTAATATTTGTTTTTGTTTGTATATAGTTTGAATTCATGTACTTGGCCTTATACATATAATGCAGGGAACCATTGTACCAGATGTGGTTTGAGTGCAATTTTCATATATACTTAAACAGTAAAACGATTTATGCTATGAAGTACTTTTATGATTATCGTATAAAAACATATATACATTTTAATAACAATTCTTTCTTTCCCTGAGTTTTGAAATATGAAAGGATATGTTTGTGTTTTTACATCTTTCAATTACCTTTGACATATTTACATTCTATTTACATTGAGTCACTGTAGATACCATTCTGTTTCATATTGGTACATAACTTTCACTTTAATATGGCAGTGATGTGGTGTAACAACTTCCATATTAAAGTGGAAGTTACTTACCATATGTCTAAATTAATTTCCAATCAGAACTACATCAAAATTTTATTTTCATATATCTAGCTACAGGCTAAACATTTCTGTCTCTAAAATGATCATTTATGTCAATATTCACATTTATTATGCTGTTATTGATATTTACATTTCTTAAAGATTGTGTTCATTTTAGAGACAGAACGGGTGTTCATCAAAGTGGTAGGTAGCCATCCATCATGGATGCAATAAATCAAACAATTATTCCTACAATGAACCCTGATTTCAAAGCAAAACAAGCTAGTTCATTTGCCTGACTACTTTTACATTTTAGAGAGAGAAATGTTTAATCTGCCTGGCTCTCTATATACATATGTATGTAGCTAGACTAACATGTTACTCTGCTGAGATTACAAAGTCTTGATTTCCTTCTCAACGATGGGACAAACCAAAAATGGAAGCAGTAAATGGATTCATTTGATTGGGTATCGTGTGTCAAGACTTAAGATTTATTAACCTGATTCAGTTAGTAAGGGACCTAATACTAAACAGTAACTAAATGTTTTTCTCTTGAAAACTGTTGTTAAACGAAACCAGTCTGTGAACCATAAATATCGCTTCTGTTTACGCTGTTATTGAACGTCACTTGTCCCATATGTTATTTCCATATACAAATTATCATGTGTATATTGTACATCACGTAAATACTATTCATAGACTGCTTTTATAGATTGATTTCATCGTTACCTGTAAGTATTTAATCAATATCTTCAAAATAAACAGATCCAGAAAGCTATTTAGGCTGAAATATGCACATAATTTCAAGATTTACCATAGTACCGGTGTTCTTTTTGTTTCAGAGCTGTTTTTTTAATAACATATCGATTTAAAATTAATCGTAACAAACACACATCGGCTATGTTTTAGAAACAGCATAATCATGTATAGCCATTTATAGCGGAGTTCTTACTTTTTCTTTGTTTTTCTTCTTTTTCCCCTTTTCTGGAATTTCAGCACCACCGTCGTTCTCTCCGGTTCCTAAACCCGCCATTCTCTCTTCTAAAGTTTTATCATCATCGTCGTCATTCCACTCTTCCTGTTGCTTGGCCTTAGATTTGTTCTTTTTAGGCATTGTGTTTATGTAGTTTTAAATAAACCAACAGATTGTGTAGTGGATGTTGTTTACTGCGTTTCCCTCACAGTTAAACTAGCACAATATTGACGTGAACCGGAAGCATGTGGGAAATCTTTATTTCTCAAACGAGTCTCTACATTACGCAACTTCCGGTATAACTATCGTTAAAGCTGCATGTCATGCAGAAAAAGTGAAGGCGTTAGTATTTTTTCATAAGGACGTATTGTGAATAAAGATATCCAACGAAAGTTGGAATAAAACTTGGAAAATTTAAAGAAAACTTTAAAAGGCAGCAGAGAAACTGGTTGCAAACACACCGAATTAACGTTAGCTCATGCAGCAATCTCCCGGGTTGAATTGCAGATACTTAAAATCATTCATTTATATAAAGGGTCTGACAACATTTCACAAGAACTCATGTTCTGGTGACCCTTCCACCCTCCGTACTACATTCAAGGCTAACGCATGGTCTAATGGATGATGTCATCTCCGGCGTGTCATTTCGTCACAGATTTGCATGTAAATAATATGCTCCAGCTTTTTTTGACAAGTTGTGACAAAATAACTTTTTGCACGAAAGGATTACGCAAGCTATGTCGCCCACGGCCTTCAAGATTCGGTAAGCGACAATTTGATTAGCTGATACAAAAGTTCATCAGAATATGACTCCTTACGGAATTTTTTCAGCTCCTATGAGAAGAGTAACGTTATGTACATATACATGTAAGTGCAATATCTCCATTTCCATACAACATAATCGGGTTTAAAATTGCAACGCCTGCATCGTTTCAGTTCCAGAAGTGACCTCAGTTCGATAGGACTAGAGTTTCTACTGCACAGTAAACTCTGTCTAATTGGAGTGATATATACGTCACTGATAAAACCGTAATTACAATAGATAGTAACAATCAATTATTTCCTGTATGTACCGCAGCCTCAGATTTCTTAGAACCCACCTTGCACTGATTCTTTTGAAATTCCAAGATTTTATTGATTATTATGGATGACTTCCGTGGGAAATTTCCAATTTCTTAGCTGTCATAGTCTCAGCCGAATCTGCATCAATACAAGGATTTCCGGGAAAGTGATTTTAGGTCATTGAATGTATCGGTGGTGAATGTCTGTGGCAATTTACTTTGTAAGCTCCTTGTTAACCTACGCTAGGTTAAAAACCAAACTCTACCAAGTAATCTTACTCTCAGTCCTAGCGTAATGTACCTTAAAAACCTTTCTGCTTTCAGGTAAACTTTTCTAGAAATTCGGACCCACTTTTTATTTTATTTTTTTTTAGTTTCTAATTTCGTGTGTTTGTGTTAAATAGTAAAAGATTATTTTCATTTACACCACCAACATCACGTAATACGGCAACAGCCACTTGCTGACGATGATTATATCAATATTTGTCCGCATATGTATCAGAATATTTTGTTAAAAGTGAGATTACAGTTAGTTTTTTTTATGATTACTTCTGGAGTCAATGATTATATCCTTTTTCTTTCCTTTTCTCTCTTAAAGAAACCATTTGTAGAGTTTCGCATGTAGATACAATGCTACTAAGAGAAGGGAAACATTCGCTAAAGATTTTTTCGCCCACGTATAAAACATCTAACACCAATGCTAAAAGGGTGAGACTGGCGCTTTATTCGTTCGTTTTCCTTAGATATCTGACAACTTTTGAAAACATCTTAACTGCCATCACACTCGCCTACGTCTTCTGTATAAAACATTCACCTACGCCTTCTGTATAAAAACATTCACACACGCATTCTGTATAAAACATTCGCCTACGCCTTCTGTACAAAACATTCACCTACGCCTTCTGTACAAAACATTCAAACACGCCTTCTGTCTGACATTCGCCTACGACTTCTTTGCAAAACATGCCTTCTGTATATAACATTCAACCATGCCTTCTGTATAAAACATTCACCAACGCCTTCTGTATAAAACATTCACACACGCATTCTGTATAAAACATTTGCTTACGCTTTCAGTATGAAACATTCAACCATGCCTTCCGTATATAACATTCAACCACGCCTTCTGTCTAACATTCGCCTACGCCTTCTTTGCAAAACATTCACCCACGCCTTCTGTCTAACATTCGCCTACGCCTTCTTTGCAAAACATGCACCCACGCCTTCTGTCTAACATTCGCCTACGCCTTCTTTGCAAAACATGCACCCACGCCTTCAGTAAAACAAACAAGTGTGACTCAGAGACGATAGCTTTATTTCACATTACTTTAACGTGTATTTCTTGTGGTTCTTTATGAAGGAGTAGTCATCATGATTTTGATCCATTGGACCACAAACTCGGCTTGTGAGATTGTACCGCTATCTGTAACAGAAATGAAGACAAATAAAACATTAAAATACACGTTGTCAGATTACTGCACAATCGCCGATAAAACACTTCCGTGACCAGTATAATACATCAAATCACATAGCTGCTTTAGCCTTAAGACTCACGATCGCGGTCGAAGAAATGAATGATCCAGGGTAGATCAGTGTCTTCGTGGATGACGCCATCCCGGTCCACATCAAGGTGATGGAACAGTACCACGGCTTCTATTGAGTCGCCCAACTTCCGGGCCATCCAATCTGTCAGGAACTCGTCGGCGGTCACAAGAGTGTCGTCTACAAATAAAACAGTTGATAAGTTTAATGCTTTGTCTTGGTATCATTGATATGTTTGAACAAATCGCTTACAACATCAGTCTGACAGTATCCAGTATCAAGTTCTCGGAATGCAATCAGTCTGACTTTGAATTTTGTCATTTTAATTGCTTCCGGATATGTAAGACTGATATCTATTGTTGAAGACAATATTGGTACATCTCATAACTTCTAATAGTAACTCATATCTTGGCAATCTTAATTTCACAAGCAATTTATGTGGAAGATAACAAATATATGTACTGAGCGTTTACATCCCGAGGAATTTTTCATCAACAAGAGAGTGCAAGACAGTTTTCAATTCTGACATGACCTACATGGGAATGGTATACGAGAATGAAACTTTTGGATTTCTAAAATAGATAGCCCCCTAACCCAGTCATGAAGGAGCGAAAAAAACATTATATAATTTTCAAATGAATTCAATAAGTCCGCTATATATTTTTCTTTCTAAATTTCCAATTTTATCGATATCCCCCTTCTACATCGAAATCAGATGGACCGTGGGTTGAGATTTCTGCCATCTAGATGTGCTCAATTATATTTTCGAAGTCTTGTATCGGGGTTTGCCTGTCACACCTTCAAACAACACAATTGATATTATGTCTTTAAAAAGACTCACTGTTCATGTCGAATTCGAGAAAGACGCTGTGCAGTTCTGATGTTGAGAGCATGTAGTCGTGATCTATATCAGCCATTAGGAAAAGCTGCCGAGCCTCTGGACTGTCATGGGGCAGAGTGGCTCCGTGACTATGAGCAGCTAGTGCACCTCTGTTTGGAAAGATAACCCCGGCAGGGGAGATAACTTGTGTTCTAAAACCCAGCCAAGGGAGTTAAAACGTATATAACAGTAAACCGACTATAAGCCACGTTAACATAATATTCCATGTCTAGTTCATAATGAAACCTAATATTTTATAATCTGCTCTCTACGCCATTTAAAATTATGACCTATCGCTAATTATGGGTATGTGTCTTCAAATGATGTTCTCTTGATATGCCAGTAGATGCATACTCACGTGACAAGGCACAACCCAAGAATGAGTGTTAGGAACTGCATCTCTTTCTGAAACTGGAAATAAACGGGAGCAGGAGAGATTACAAATCAGTTGTCAGATTTTTGTCTATTAATTATCGGACATGATTAATTTTACTAATGACAATATTATATGATTATCAAATCATTTAACAGTTCGGAATATATCAGCACTACAGGCAGAAAACAGTCTTCAGTGCAGTTTTTCTATCGATTCCCGTTACATTTCAGCTCCGTTGAGCAAAAAAAGAACAACACTTCATCGACCCCTTTTCTCTAGCATTCTTATTAATTTTCAGTTAAGAAGCAACATTGGAACATAAACAGAAGTTTGAAACGTGTTTTGTAACATGTTACAGTTGAATTCAATTAGTGGAAATACAGAGAAAGTTCAAAATACGTGGAGTTCAGGGAAACCATGATTGCGCAATCACATTACAAAATGGCCGCCTTTGATGGCATTTTGAACTTTTGACAAGATTAAGTCGGCTTCCTTTCCTTAACATCCCTACCACTAATTTTCAACCCAATGACACCAGTAGAACTTGAGAAGAAATTTAAAATGTGTATTTCATGTCGTGGTGACCATATTGAATTTCAGACTAACCTGAAAACAAAATATGTTCAGACATGGCTATATGCCGTCTGGAACCTTCGGGTTAGAAGACCTAACATGAGTACATGGAGATTAGGACATTAGGACGAGTTGCAGTATATACGGAGATGTTAGACTGAGGGAGAGTAGACACCAAAAACCCATGGCAGAGGAAAGGCCGAAAACCGAAGTAAGCAATCTAAACGATACGAGTTATTGGAACAATTAGGACAAGGGGCAACGCAAATTTTTGCCATCCCCGAAGAAGTTAGGATGAGGGGACAGTGTAAACATCTTGGGTGCATAGGGATGGTGTGGACGAACGGACAAGGAGCAATTTTAACATTATTGTCGGCATTGCAAAATGTCGAATTTCTTTGTACAGATGGCTGATGGGATGCGCACCTGTTGCTCTACGATAGCGCCAGTTGGGGACTGATAAGAGTTTTACATTTAGATATCTGTAAAATAGAAACCATCCGATCTCAAACAGAAACCTATAGAATAGATTTGTACCATGGAAGTCGACGCGGATTACAGGAAAAATGTTAGAATAAGGGGGAAAAATTCAGAAGTATAAATTACTAAAATTGAAAGTTAAGTACAAACCTTGAGAGTTGGCAGATATGGACGAAATGAGCGGCACTAAAGGAAGTGTAGTGACTACAGATAAGAATGGCAAGAGGTCAAATGTTCCGATTCCGATACCATATGCCACGCAGTGCAAGTGTGACAAAACATGTTAGACTTTACAACTGTATATAACAACATCGTATTTAACATTATATATATATATATATATATATATATATATAGTAGGGTGAATAAATGGTAGTTTGAAAATAACATCCGGGAACTAATATAGATAATACCGAACGGTGAGAGGGAAGTGTTTGTTTGTTTGTTTTAATGTGTTTTCTACGAATTGGTTTTGGAAGTTGGTGTTGGAACTGGCATGTTTCGAATACTGTAGAAATCACAAAAGTGTGGTTTTATGTAACAAAACATAAAATTACTTGACACGGTATCCCAATTCAGCAGAGAAGAACATAGAAATATGACCATAACGTGTTTTATACCTACCTACTACACAACAATCACTGGAACATGCAGAATTCCAATCATTTCTTAGTAATTTCCTTCATTAGCTTAAATTCTTCGGCTATATTGCCATTCTTTTCATACAATATGAAAAGATGACAAGATCGAGTTAAATCGATTTTTTTATTTCATGGGTCTAACGGTCCATATAACGAAACAACAGGGAAGCGACTACATAATATCCACATACACACAATCGTGACGGAAACAATAATATCCTGTGCTTGATTATAACCGGTTCGCCGACTCTAAATCCGTACTTGACATGTACTTAATAGGATCTTGTTGATGTACATTTCCACAGAAAACGATAACATGATAACGTTATGGTCAGTAACCATGTCACTACCGACATCCCATTCTTTGGTGAATCTTGCATGCTGCTCTGAATTTTCAGTTTGTCCTCTGAGATAAATCATTTAAACACTTATTTCTTCATTCTCTGTCTCCTCGATTCCATGTGTGTTAAGCATGAGCTTGTGTCAATTGACAAGGACGTAGAACCCAATGTAAAATAAATCATTTCACGAATATACACTGGCATGCACTTGACGCTATTCTAAAATGGTAAATATGTGAAAATTATGAATTATTTAATTATGGGGCTGCTGTACTTCCCAAGCGAGATTTTGACTTCCCCAGCTAGATTTTGACTTTTCCAGCTAGATTTTGACTTCCCAAGCGAGATTTTGACTTCCCCAGTTAGATTTTGACTTTTCCAGCTAGATTTTGACTTCCCAAGCGAGATTTTGACTTTCCCAGCTAGATTTTGACTTTCCCAGCGAGATTTTGACTTTTCCAGCTAGATTTTGACTTCCCAAGCGAGATTTTGACTTTCCCAGCTAGATTTTGACTTCCTCAGCTAGATTTTGACTTTTCCAGCTTGATTTTTACTTTCCCAGCTAGATTTTGACTTTTCCAGCTAGATTTTGACTTCCTTAGGCAGATTTTGACTTTCCCAGCTAGATTTTTTTCCAGCTAGATTTTGACTCTCCCAGCTATATTTTTACTTCCCCAGCTTAATTTCTACTTTCCGGGCCTAGATTGTTTACTTTTCTTTCGAATACATTGGTTTGCCTTGGTCTCCTCACAGGCTTGTCAATCTATGTCCTTAACAACACTGGCGAGACCTAGAAGGATGAAACAGCTGCATGATGCAGTTTAATTCATTGTTTGGCACTACTGTGTCAAGCTCTAAATCATTAAAGGGTGCTGTTCACTTGTGTGTCTTTTGTACAACCAATGATTAGATCGTAAGACAATGATGTGTCTCATGCTTAAGAGTACGGTACCATGGGTACGAATCCTTGAAGATATAGAGGAGGCATGGGGGACCAAGAAATGGAAAGTTCGCTTAAGTAAAATCAACAAATTGTTACTGTTAGAACCTAATGGTAATCGGTAAATGTGAAACTCGGTAACATTATTTAAATTATGTCGAACTTCTTATCACGATTCCATCCTTGCTTTTATTTGAGAACGAATTTTGAAAACAATTAAGTCATTTCAACTCATATACAATCACTTTTGCCTCAATGAACTTGCCGCAAGGTAAGCCAGAAGTCCCGAGTTCGAATCTTAGCACAGGCATCAAAATAAAAATGAACTCTTGCAGATTCTCATGTCCCTGTGTTTCGAGCGGGGAACAATAAGGTATGTAGGTACGTGCCCGAGGCTGATCGAATGAAGTAGGAAATGATCGCGGAACGCCCCATACACTCGGTCTGTTTCGTAATAGATAGCTGAGATATGGAAGGTTAGAAGCCAGTTGAGCAGGACCACGAACTCAAGAAACATGGCTCTGAAAGAGACCATAGGTGTTTGGTTCGAAGGTACACAGGCATTCGAGGAGGGTAACGTTGAAGGTGCGCGGGACACGTTCCTGTCTATAGCTGATCCGAGTGCTCGGATTTTATTCAACATTGCCCGTGTATCGAAGTTGAACGACTCCATCAAGGTATTAAACATGATAACATTGTTTATGTCATATATAGAATTTCTGTCTGTCTGTTGTAGGTATACACTAGATGTTGTTGACAAAACATGAGCGAAGTTCACAGTTTATTAACACTTTTAGGACTGCTGGGTGGCACGATGTAAACAAATTACTCCTGTATACCTGTACGTTTCCAGGTACACGTTTTTAATGGTCCGTGTCCTGTAGCTACGTACGTTGTTAGACAAGGAATTTTGAATACAGACTGTATGTCCAGTACAATTCAATAGGGAAGTACATAATTTCAATGTATTAAAAAGGGAAGATAAATTGAAGTTAACTAGCCTGTTTACTCTTATAATTATTAATCTTTTCAAAATGATTAGTACAATTTAGTAGACATCTGAATGATTTTCTACTTGTAGATGACAATTTTTACCACAAAAAATCAACTTTGTATGTACTTGTATATATCCGTGTTTCTTTAAATCTTAAAATAGACCATTATTGATGCAAAATGCATGTTTAAGTCATTTAGTTATTTATCTTTTGTTAAGAACTTGAATATTATCTTATATTTCAGTAAGGTCACCATATAATACAGAGAACTATATTATATATTCTGACTTCAGACAGAAATAAGATGAAAACAATTGTTAATTAATGTCATAAAAATTTTAGCTTTCTAGTAGATACACATAATATTTTAATGATACTAGTTTGACAAAATGACTGGTCAGGCCAGTCCGTGCTGAGTTGACACTACAGTCCATGATTGACTTCACAGCTCAGTGGACAAAAACAAAAGCTAATGCCAGATAACCCACCACTGAACCTTGTTTCCTGTCCCAGCATTTAAATTTCCTTTGTATTTCGAGTGAAAATTTTTGAAAAACAAAAAAAAAACAAAAAAAAAAAAGGTACATTAACATAAGAAAATAAGCCTTGTTGGATGACATCAAAGACAATTTGTCAACTTTTAGAAATATCTGTTTAAACAGTGTTTTTAGAAAAGCCATGTTTTTTTTAGGGTTTTTAGGATTGATGTGCAGTTCCTATAATGAACCCCAGCAAAGATTGCAAATAGAAATGACATTGGGCAGTCTGTCCTTGCATTGGTCCATTTTCACTGCCACTGTGATCAGTTTGTTAAATTATTTGGTGAAAATATTTTACAAGTTGGTTCCAAGGATGAAATGAAATAAAGTTTTCTACAAGAGATAATCTTGACCCAAATCCAAGATCATCATGGTTCAATTTTGTTAAAATAAAAAAAAATTCTGAGTTTAACCAAAAGATTTACAGCTAGAATAAAAATATTTAGCTAATATTGTAGATTCCTAGGATAAAACTAGACAAACTTTGCTTAAACTCTGAAATGACCTTGACTTATATTTTTCAATTTCACAGTGGTCAAACTTGTTAAATATTCAAATGATTTATTCTGATAAACCAAAATGGAAAAATATCATTACAATGATTGAAGAAGTCCTAAAAGAATGTTTAGTATTAAGGTACCATACTACCTAGTAGTTTACAAAGCTGGTTTCGATAGATTTCATTTGAACCCTCTCTGAATGTCATTGTAATAAGATATTAATTTATTCATGGAAAGCAGAACTTAATCACCATGAGATGTAACAGGTCAATTGAGCCTCTTCTTTTCAGTGAAGAAAAACAAATTCAAAAAGGATTAATTTAACTTTACAGCTACAATTGATATAAGTTTTTATCGAAGATCCCAGTCTAATCATCTTTCTTGTTAAACAAAAATAAATGATATACTGGTCAGCTGATGATTGGTTTCATTGTTGTAAAATATCAAAATAAAGTTGAATTATAATCACCGCTGATAATTATATCTAGCCCTACATGTACACCTTGTCACCTACATCATGTACGTGTGGATTTTATTCAAGTCATTCTGATATCTGAGTTGTCAATAATCAAAGTAAATTATAGCTAGTTATTTATATACAGTGTATTTGACATGATTGGTAAGATACTAATTTGGATATATTGTATTAACAAACTCCACCAGTCAGTGACTTGTGATTCCTGTTTCTGATATCAGTCATTACATGGGTACAGCCTTGTCATTTCCTGTATTAGATCTTCTCTGTCTTACGTGACTTTGAACATGTACATACACTAAGATGATCACACACTGATAGCTCATATATGCTCATATGACAATTCGTAATGGCTATAGAATATTGGAGCAAGTTTTGACTATTGCAAATTATTAATTAAACAAATTATACGCTGCAAATGGTTAACCTTGAAATAGACTATCATATTCAATGTTAATGGTTTACCATATGATTAAAAAAGAATATTTTCTGTTAATGCTACTATTTGATATATTGTCCATTGTGTAAGATGGTTCATCACTTAGAATAGAGCAATTTTATTGTTATAGTTTACCATGACTGAACATATTATTCACTGGTTTACAATGAAATACACTTTGCACTGTTAATGGTTTACAATGAAATACACTTTTCACTGTTAATGGTTTACAATGAAGTACACTTTTCGCTGTTAATGGTTTACAATGAAATACACTTTTCACTGTTAATGGTTTACACTTTTCACTGTTAATGGTTTACAATGAAATACACTTTTCACTGTTAATGGTTTACCATGAAAAACATTTTTCACTGTTAATGGTTTACAATGAAATACACTTTTCACTGTTAATGGTTTACAATGAAATACACTTTTCACTGTTAATGGTTTACAATGAAATACACTTTTCACTGTTAATGGTTTACAATGAAATACACTTTTCCCTGTTAATGGTTTACAATGAAGTACACTTTTCACTGTAAATGGTTCACAATGAAATACACTTTTCACTGTTAATGGCTTACAATGAAGTACACTTTTCACTGTTAATGGTTTACAATGAAATACACTTTTCACTGTTAATGGTTTACAATGAAATACACTTTCCACTGTTAATGGTTTACAATGAAATACACTTTCCACTGTTAATGGTTTACAATGAAATACACTTTCCACTGTTAATGGTTTACAATGAAATACACTTTTCACTGTTAATGGTTTACAGTGAAATACACTTTTCACTGTTAATGGTTTACAATGAAATACACTTTTCCCTGTTAATGGTTTACAATGAAATACACTTGGCTCACTGTTAATGGTTTGATAACTTGCCTAGATATAATAGTTTATCAATTTGTTATTTCTTATTTGTTTACAATAAACATGTTCACTGTAATGGTTCACAATGAAATACACTTTTCACTGTTAATGTTACAATGATGTGTTTTCACTGTTAATGGTTTACAATGAAATACACTTTTCACTGTTAATGGTTTACAATGAAATACACTTTCCACTGTTAATGGTACTGGTCTGATAACTTGGCTCTACATACTGGGCTGATAACTTGCCTAGATATAATAGTTTATCAATTTGTTATTTCTTATTTGTTTGAAACAGTAAACATGTACAGCCTACTACCAATGAGGGCATTAGTACACAAAGAAACAGTAGGTTTTAACTTTAGAAATAGAACATTCCTTGAGGAATTTTGAACTTGAAGTATAAAATGATTCATTTTTTCACTATTTCAGTATCTGACAAACGCCATTGCCAAAGATCCTCATCTGGCTATAGCCTACTACCATAGAGGGCTGCATTACTACGCAAAGAAACAGTAAGTTTGTACAACCTACTACCATTGAGGACTGCATTACTACTCAAAGAAACAGTAAGTTTGTACAGCCTACTACCAATGAGGACTGCATTACTACACAAAGAAACAGTAGGTTTGTACAGCCTACTACCATAGAGGGCTGCATTACTACGCAAAGAAATAGTAAGATTGTACAACCTTATACCATAGAGGGCTGCATTACTACACAAAGAAACAGTAAGTTTGTACAACCTAATACCACAGAGGGCTGCATTACTACACAAAGAAACAGTAAGTTTGCACATCATGCTACCACAGAGGGCTGCATTACTGCACAAAGAAATAGTAAGATTGTACAACCTAATACCATAGAGGGCTGCATTACTACACAAAGAAACAGTAGGTTTGTACAGCCTACTACCATAGAGGACTGCATTACTACACAAAGAAACAGTAAGTTTGTACAACCTTATACCACAAAGGGCTGCATTACTACACAAAGAAACAGTAAGATTGTCCAACCTAATACCATAGATGGCTGCATTACTACACAAAGAAACAGTAAGATTGTACAACCTAATACCATAGAGGGCTGCATTACTACACAAAGAAACAGTAGGTTTGTACAGCCTACTACCATAGAGGGCTGCATTACTACACAAAGAAACAGTAAGTTTGTACAGCCTACTACCATAGAGGGCTGCATTACTTCACAAAGAAACAGTAGGTTTGTACAGCCTACTACCATAGGGGCCTGCATTACTACACAAAGAAACAGTAAGTTTGTCCATCCTAATACCATAGAGGGCTGCATTACTACACAAAGAAACAGTAAATTATAATAGAAATGATAAGACACCAGTTAATTGATAGAAATGTGATGCTTGAGGTTTATCTGTGATGCTGCCTCAATTGTTTCAACCTGATAGAGACAGTCATCAGAGGATTTTTACATATTACATGTTTGTAATTACAGTGCATGGAAGATTTGTAGGGTGCTATGATAATTTGTAACTCTAGAAGAATAAACCAAAAACCATTTGTATATCAAAACCAACAGACTACTAATGTAATCAAGCTGGAAGCTGAGCTCTAGCTCAAACCTTCACATTTAGGAACAAAGATTTAAGTGAGGAATAAGCATATGGAAAAATCAGCAATATGTTTAAATGTATTGTTTATAATTTTTGCCATTTACCTGTGAAAGTAGTAGAAAAATTGATAGGCGTTCAGGTGTGACTGACATTTTCTGGTATACGTTCCTAAGGTTTTGCAGAAGTTTATAATTTATTATAACAAAATAGGTGATTGCATTCCTGTAGTTTTACATGTAGAGATTTATGACTGATGTCTATTCCACGGTCGGTTGAACCTTTGTTAAAGTTATTTATTGTTATGCTACTGTGAAACATTCCTTAGAGCTAATATTATCAGGTTAAGTTGTCATTTCATTTCGTAAGTCATGCAGAAATCATGATCGCTCCACATTGACGTGACCTTACATATACTATATACATATCTGACAGACTTCCTGGCTTGTTACGGCACTGAGTAAGGACGAAACTTAGTGAACCTAATGCTGTTGTTTGACAATATCTAGTCAACTTATATGATAGCAGCTCCACCTCAGATTTATTTTTTATGCCCCGTTGGTTTGGGATGAGCATATTGTGCTCACAGTACTATTTACCCTTCTTTGTAGCGGTAATTTTCTGTACAGACATACAGGAGTCCTTGTGTAATGAGAAATTTTCTTCAGTAACTTGACTGTAGCTTCTTGTGGTCAAATGCTTTATCTTAATATTCTTCATTAGCAGTGTGAATTATGTTCCAAAGAAAAGAAATGATTAATTCTTTCCTGTACAGCTTCTAATGACAATGTATCCCAAGGGGAACTGATGTAAAGAATTGAAAGTGTGAGTGAGTCAAAGGAATGAGTAAATGGAAATGAAAGAATGTGTAGAAACTTGAGTCTATTGGTGACGTATAATTATGAATATATTCTAATTAATAATCTATGATTACTTATGATGTATATACCATCAATGGAGAAGATTTATATGTCCAATGCCTATTATCAAATCCATTTGATTATATCTAAGCAGTAAAATTTGTGGAAATGAAATGAAAAAATCATTCAGTTTTTTAATACTGTATCAATACAAAATATGGTAGTTAGAATAATATCTACATGTAAATATACATTTCTCCACTGAATTCATTGTCTGAATTGACCATTCTTTATTTATTAGCAGTAAAGGAAAAATGAGCACTGCGGTTAAGATTTCTGGACCGTTGGTTTACTACAATTTGTTCACGTGTCTTAATTCTACCTTTGAATGCCACAGGTATGATCGTGCTCAACAAGACTTCAACTCGTCTGAGGAGAAAATGCATGGTCGCCCAGTACTGGACTACAGTCAGCTGGGAATGGCATTCAAGCTGCATTCTGCAGAGGTAAGTGTCTAAGGGGTTTTAGAAAACAGTTTTAGTCAGCAAGAGGTGTATGTGTTACCCTAGAACACAATTAGCCATTTTAAGTTGTATATATAGTCGAACCTCATTAACTTGAACTCATATTACCCAAAGACTATGTTAAATTCAAAGCATTTCTCTGCTTAACTTAACACAAAAGGTTTTCACACTCTTAAAACAAATACTCAAATATCTTGGTTTTCCCATGGTCCTGCCAAGTTTGAGATAACAAGGTTTGACTTTATATGCAATTATGCATTGGTCATATTTGGACTGTGGTCAACCTTGCAAAGTTGTTGCTGTAATGGATCCAACCAGGACCTCTAACCAGTCTTGTAACTTAAAATATTTGGTTTTTAGTTCACCTGTTAGGTCAAATTTTCCCTTTAAACTACTTTTTCTCAATAACCAAATGCTCAAGGTGCTGATATTGGCTTGTGGCATTTTTGTTGAAGGAGTAACAAGTTTGTGCAATGATTGACCAATTAGGACTGCAGTGGCCAGATGGTGAAGACATCTCACTGTCTTTATCACTAGCCCTCCATCTCTGGGTCATGGGTTTGAGGCCTATATGCGACTGTCACCAGGTACTGACCACAGGTCGGTAGTTTTCTCTGGGAACTCTGGCTTTTCACCACCACCCAAACTTGGCATATCCTTAAATGACCCTGGCTGTTAATAGGATGTAGAGAAAAAAAAAACAAAAAAATAAACATTATTGACTGACTTTCATGGTCACATGAGTGAAACAACTTCTTTGCAATAACCAGAAGGCCCAGGGTGCTGATATTCAGCATGTAGCATGCTATGATTAAGGGATACTAAGTTATTCAAATGACCCCTTTTTAGGCCACATGATTCAAATTTGTTAAGAACTTAAGATTTCTTCTATTTAACATGCAACAGGTCCTTGATCATGGTGTAGAATTGTGCTTGAGGAATAAGCTTTCAAGTTAGTAGAAATTGACAGGTTTTTTTTGTATAAGCTGGAAAGGTGAGTGATTCAGGCCCATTGGGCCTCATTTTCCAACCTCATACATATATATTTCCAGCAAATGACAGTATAATCTGGCTGTCACACTGTGGTGAAATGGGTCTACCTGGCAATATACTCCTCCAAGTATGCTCAAGTTCTGTTCAGGCAACTTGTCTTGTAAATGCCAAGGTGCGCTAGGGCAGGTCAGCCGCTGCTTGATGCTAGTGCAAGATCCTTCGTTAGTCAGTCTATAGAGTAGCGGGTCGGTGAAGACATAGGTTTTTACAGATCCACTTAGTACGGTACTTGTAGACCATTCTAGCCGGGATTAGTATATATATCAGTACTTCTGAAATATCCTTGGTATGTACATATGTACATAATGAAAGTTGTTGTACAATGTAATATTATCTAACCTGTTATACTTACATGATCTACATTTTCACCTGTACATTATCTACATATATAGTCATTCTTATGTTATTGTCATCAAAGTTATACATGAATTCACAGGTAGCGATCACTAAGGCAGCAGTGTGGCAGAGGAAAGGTGAAAGTGAAAAGGCTTTAGAAATCGTAATTACAGCCAGTCAGGAAGCTGAGGAGGATTCAATGAAAAAAGCATGTGTTAGTGCTCTCCAAAAACTCAAGGTACATACAGTATGGTCATGTTTTATTTAAATTTAAATGTCACAAAATAATAACATCGGTGATAGGTATCTGTCTGATGGTACTGTGGTAAAGATTCAAACTTTTGTAGAAACTGAACGTTGAAAGAGTATGTCACTTGATAAGTCTTTGAATAATGTAATAAACAACATGTTTGTTGATATCAATCATTCAACTTTTACTGTGACATAATGAATATGTTTATATTAAGGTATTTTTGTCAACTTCAGCTCTGTTCAGATATATAGATGTTTAATCACAAGTTCACTGGGATAATGAATTTTTGTTAAAACATGTGAACAACTTGAGAGGAATCAGCCTATCTAGAATCAGAGGTAATGACTGTTGAAGGATATTAAATGTCACCATGGTAGATCATGTATTATTTCAGTTCTTGTTTCTTTTTATAGAGTAGTAGTCATGGTGCTCTGGAACCTATATCAATACCAAAACATTGTATTTTTCACCCTCCAAAAAGTTTGATAGCCAATTTGAAGAAGAGAGAATATGTTGGCAAGGCGAGGGTATGTCTGTTTTTTATCAAAGATTAATTATATTTGTTCCCTTTGTATTTTTACTTTGATTTCATGTCTTTATTGAGATTTACCTGTTGATGTCATTAATTATCTCACCTGGTCTGAAGGACCAAGTGGTTTTATGTCATGGTGCAGTGTTAATTGTCCATATATCTGGTGTCAGCCTTTCCCTCGAAACAACTTCTACCCAAAAACTAAAAAAACAAGAATCAAGATGTTTAGCTAGAATTCTCCTTTTATGAAGCCAGACAAATTTTGTGAAAAGAAATGGCCTTGCTTCATATTCAAGTTCACAGGAGCCAGATTTATCAAAAATTCAATCTACACGTCTGATTACCCAAAAAACGCTTAGGTTCATGACATTTGACTGGAAGATTTTTTAGATGAGGCCCAATAAAGTTTGCAAGAAAAAGTGACCTTGACGCATATACAGTGTCACAGGAGTCATTAATGTTAAAACATTTGAGTTGTTTCTTCTCAATAAACAAAATGCATAGAATCTTGATTAGATGGTAAGTCTCTGAAATGAAGGCAAACAAAGATAGAAATTACCTTGACCTGTATTTGTGGTTACAGAGGTAAATTTGTTGTAGAAAAACAAGCAACTTCTTCTCAATAACCAAACAGCCAAAATGTTAATATTTGGCTGTTAGGTTTCTGGATTGAAGCCAAGGTTTCTAAATAAAATGGCCTGAACTCATATTCAAGGTCCCAGGTAAAAGTTCTGGTATCATGATATTTTGCTAGAATCCCAACAATGTTTTTTTTTTTTTTTTTTAAAACACAACCCATATTTATAGTCACAAAGATCAAACTTGTGAAAACTTTCAAATGACTCCTTTCCATTAACCAAATGTCAGTGTTGTCAAATGTTAATGTTTTTGTGAAAATCATTGAATACTAGGTAAGAAATAAAGGCCCAAGCAATGCAGGACTGATGGGGCTCCTCTGAAATTAATGTTTTCAGTTCATTTTGCAATTTGAAATAAAGGTCATTCCTCATTATAAGTTTTGATATAAACATATTTATAGATGTCGTAGACTGAAAACCAATTTTCTCACTACATTCCTACTACACATGCTACTAAAATGACCAAAATGATGTAGCTTTGTGGGTAGATATCATACTGTAAACAGCACCAGCAAGTTACAAAGCCAAGCTTTGTTTTTTTACAGGTGGTGTCTGACTACCAGCAGAAGAGCAGAGAGAGTTCGCCTGAACCCACCAGCAGGCAGTCGAACAATCAGCCCCCGGATCTCCCTCCCAGGCACGGTAACCAGCTGAATGTTCCCCCTGAAAGACAGAGAAAAGCTCAAACACTACCAGGAAGTATAGAACCTAAAGCACACCAGGCATCACAAGGATACAACTTAACTGTTGATGGACAGAAAAAGTCTGCAACAATGGCAGCCCCTTTTACCACGAAACATTTGCCACCTCCTCCTAACAGAGCAGCACCTATATTAAATATCAAAGATTCTAAGTCAGTTGAAGACCTATCTTCAAACAAACAGAAAAATTCTTTATTTGTAGAAAAAGATAGAGTCAGAAGACACAGCCATGACATTCCTAGAGAATTGGATTCACAATTACAGAAAGCTTTAGCAGACCATCTTAAGAAAACGAAAGGAGAAGCTTCAAGTAGTAAGGACAACAGTGATAGAAATGGTAACGCACCACCCCCTCGCCCCCCACGCCCCCCTCCCCCTGGGATTGTGATAGAGTCTGACATTCCTCCTCCAGTTCCTAGAAAAGACTACCCAAAACCTCGATGATGCACATATCTATTGTTATAAGAAAATGCTATTGTTGTAAATTGGATTGTCTTTGTCATGTGTCATGAAGAAGGGCTGTGTTAGATCTCACTTTTACATTAGCAGTACACGGTAAAGGCCCATTAAAGATATCATGTCTATATCAGCACCAGCAATTTCTCCCAGAGTGAATTCAGATACCCTATGTAACCGCTTAAGTTTGTAAGTCGGAGGTCACATGTTGTTAAAAATAGAACAACAGTGACTGCCATGCTTTTTTTTTCTATGTAATAGGTTCTGATTTTATTTAGGTCATCAGGTCAGAGGGGTGAAAGGTCAAATGAACAATTACTAGAAATATGATCTGATTCTAAAATTAGAAATTCTCAAACTGTATATACTCATCCAGTCCTGATAATAATTATTTCAATGATATTGATGTGGGTCTGCAACTAATCAGTATCTATTTCATGTCCCCTGAGACGGTGTCCATAGCAACACAAATTTGGTCCATAGGTGTATCAAGAAGTCAACTAGAGGAGTTTTGTTGTCATAACAACCATGAACAAATTGAGACATATGATTGGTTGAAATGCCAGACTTGCATAATAAATTAGAAATCTTTCATGTTTAAGAGACATACCAGTGATTGCTGGCAATCACAATGTCTAGTTTGATGTTAAATAAATCTGAAAATTGTGTCGGTTTCATCTTTTAAAAAGGTAATTTACCTGTAGACAGTGAATCCTTCATGTAATGTACTTTCATGTAGTCATTCTATACATTGTCTTAATCCCCTGAAGGTTATTTGCAGGGATTATATGACACATAAATTTGTAAACTAGGAAACACCTTTAATCTACTATCAGTCATTACTCCATCTTGTTATGATAAGAATATGTATGACCTCAACTTCAAGTGTGATAGCAAACTGATTACAGTGGTGTAGTGTAATCAACAACAGCTGTGTTCACTTCCTTGATATGTAAATGTAGATAATAGACACTACCCATGTTGATTTAAAGTTTGAATTTTACATCCATCATTTGTAGTGTAGCCATACAGAACATCATATTATATTATATAATAAAGTATCATATTAGCTTTATCACATCATATCACATCATACAACATTTTATCACATAATATCATATTCCATTTTATCACATCATATAGTAAGGTGTTAATCACAGTGTGATAACGCCTATATATATAGAGAGAGAGAGAGAGAAATATGTAGTATACCATATTATGACCAAATTTATGTCTAGATTATGTAACATGAGTATTGTCAATAGCACAAGTTTATACATTTTCAGCATTACATGTTTTATATCAATTTTGATGACCTCACAATTGTTTTTTCCTTTTATTGGTCTGCTTGTCCATACAACTTCATGTATATTATACCATAAGAACAAACAGATGTGATTTGATCTATTTTCATAACATATTCCCTTCACACACACATAGTAAATGAAGTGGCATATACAACATGTGTAGTGGTATATGTACAACATGTTTAGTGTTATATACAACATGTGTAGTGGTATATATACAACATGTGTAATGGTATATGTACAACATGTGTAGTGGTATATATACAACATGTGTAGTGTTATATACAACATGTGTAGTGGTATATATACAACATGTATAGTGGTATATATACAACATGTGTAGTGTTATATATACAACATGTGTAGTGGTATATATACAACATGTGTAGTAGTATATGTACAACATGTGTAGTGGTATATATACAACATGTGTAGTGGTATATATACAACATGTGTAGTGGTATATATACAACATGTGTAGTGGTATATATACAACATGTGTAGTGTTATATATACAACATGTGTAGTGGTATATATACAACATGTGTAGTGTTATATACAACATGTATAATAATTGTCTATGTGTTTATATGTCTTTGCTTAAATCCATAGTACTTACCATTATACTTCTGATAAAGATATTACATGAATCGCTGAGCTGATTAAACTTGTATCAATACCAAAGTGACATGTGGTGGTGAAGATTGTGTTAGATGTTAAGATGTAGATGTGTAGGTATATGTAGAACTCTTATATACATTTCTTCATTATTTTACCTAGTTATCACATTTGAGACGTACAAAATTTTAATTTTACACTCTTTTAATCGTCTATGCAACCCATTTATTAGCATTGAAAAGTTCTCAAATTTGACTCGCTCATCGAGGGTTGAATGTGGTGAACTTTGACACTATTGCCCAGGTTGGAAAAGTGCTAAACTTTGTCACACCTTCCCAGGGTTGGAGAAGTGCTGAAATTTGTCACTCCTTCCTAAGGTTGGAAAAATAGTAAGATTTGTCACACCTGCCTAGTGCAATAGCAAGTAGAATATTCTTTTCATTACTGTGTGATTTTTTTCTCCATGAAGTTTATATTTGTGTTCTAGTTCAATAGTGCAGAGTTATGTTCAATAGATTTTTAAAACATTTTGATCATTGGTTACCATGTGTTGTCCCTGAAGTGTACAGTGACATGATTCTTCTTGGGAAATATTTCATCCTTCTATATAGCAAGTAATATTGTGGTGCTATACAACCCACATGGGAACATTTCGTAGCAAAATACATTCTAAAGAAATCTTGGTGTGAGGATATTCTACAAAAAATATATTGTTTGTGTCACTAGCAGCCTTTAGCAATAAAATGTATATTGTATCACTTCTGATAACGAGAATGTATTACATTATACTAGTAATGTACATTGTAGTGATATTTATGATGTATTACATTGTTCCAGTAATGTACATTGTAATGATATTGATAATGTAATACATTGTTCCAGTAATCTACATTGTAATGATATTGAGAATATATTACATTGTTCCAGTAATGTACATTGTAGTGAAATTGAGAATGTATTACATTGTTCCAGTAATGTACATTGTAATGATATTAAAAATGTATTACATTGTTCCCGTAATCTACATTGTAATGATATTGAGAATATATTACATTGTTCCAGTAATGTACATTGTAGTGAAATCGAGAATGTATTACATTGTTCCAGTAATGTACATTGTAATGATATTAAGAATGTATTACATTGTTCCAGTAATGTACATTGTAATGATATTGAGAATGTATAACATTGTTCCAGTAATGTACATTGTAATGATATTGAGAATGTATTACATTGTTCCACTAATGTACATTGTAATGATAATGAGAATGTATAACATTGTTCCAGTAATGTACATTGTAATGATATTGAGAATGTATTACATTGTTCCACTAATGTACATTGCAATGATAATGAGATTGTATTACATTGTTCCAGTAATGTACATTGTAATGATAATGAGATTGTATTACATTTTTCAGTCATGAAGCATTAGTGTATAGATCACACTTTTTGATGCTTTATTCAGAATGATATTCCCAGATAGCAGTTTAAAATTTAAGCATTTCAAACTTGAAGCAAGTTGTAAAAATCAATATTGATTATCATAGGGATCTGACAAATCCAGTCACACTATACAGTTGACTGATATCCTGACAAGGGACACAACTCTTTGCCAAAAAATTATATACATGAGTACTTTCCTGCAGTTATGACTGGTAGTGGTTGCTTAACATGGTATATAACCACATCCAAAATTGCAATGAGAACATTTTAAAGAATACTGTAGGTTCACCAACTTGTTCAAATTTCCATAACAGAGTAAAATCTTTTCATATATTACAACAGTTGCCTAACAGTCTTATTAGATAATTTTCATCATTTATGATGGCCCCTATTGAAGTTTGTGGGAATCTTGCAAAGGGAGGAAACCCATCCAGGTGACTTCATACCTTCTTATGTTCAACGGGGGGAACATACCCTCTTCCCCATAGGTCACCACAGTGTTTCCCGACCACCCAGTCAAAAACATTAAGACTTAGACAAGTTTACTTGTAGACCACATTTTCACAAACAGGTACATAATACATCATCAACGTTTAGTTTTTCCTCATGTAAATTTGATTTTGAAACCATAAACACTTTAGATTTTATTGATATTCAATGTCTACAATTGGTGCCAAAATTGGTCTCCCTCCTCCTAACCAAGAAGGTTTAGGAAAATGCATAATTCTATGTTATTGATATACTCTTAACATTCCATGAATTATATACTCTAACATTCCACTGACCGTACAGAAATAGATTCTGAAGATTTCTGCTGATTTTGTAAAGTATGGACCTATGGTCATGATCTTCATTTGACCATCAGGACCCGGGGGTTACTGACCATGAATTTTTTCAACAATTTTCATTTACCTATGGTAAGACAAACAGCTTTTAAATATTTTGATATCACAAATCACAATAAAGTCTTGAAGTGGATGAATACAAGGGTTGACGCCAATATAACACGTTTTAAAGGTTGCTTTTTAATCCAGTGTAGTAATTTATATCTGGAACTTCACAAGTTAAGGTTATAGAAACTTTTATTTTATCTAGCAGGATTACAAGGGGTTGCTGATACTTAACCTGTGGTTCACTGGAATATTTATACCAATTTTACTCATTCTTTTAATCACAGTATGCAATTAGGTCAGAATGTTGTCAACACCATGAACAGCAGGTGCATAATACAGGCCCTTTGTGCCTTTCTAATTTATTAATAATTCTGATTTATATTTGTATCAAATTCTTGGTAAGTAATATACATGACATAGGTATAATATACAAATGTGATATTTTTTATTCTTAATAAAACTTGTGTTAACTGAGGTGAATGTTTTATAGTTTTTTTTCTGTCATTGCTAGTATTGTGTACTGACATTGTACCATATGTGGAGATGGGCATATTGTTTTTGTGCTGTCTGTTGTCAACTTTAACCTTGCCCATAACTACTGCACCCTAAGAGATAGGGCTTTCATATTTGGCATTTGTGTTCCTAGTGACAAGACCTTTCTTGTGATACCAATTTTTTTTTTTAACCATTTAACCTTGACAATGAGATTTGACCCACATTTGAAAAAAATTAATATTGGCCATTACTATTGCATCAAAAGAGGTAAGGCTTTCATATTTGGCATGTTTGTTCCTGGTGACAAGGCCTTTCCAGTAGTACCAAAAGTTTTTACCATGTGACACTGACCATGACCTTTTGACCTACATTTGAAACATTTTAATATTGACCATAACTGTTGCATCAAGAGTACTAAACAGCTTTCGGTCATCAGTTTTTCAATCTATTTTTTTCTCTTAAACCGTTTTGCTCTTGTGATCCGTAACTATCGCACCTCATTCGAACTGAAAGATTCGCCCCTTCAATGCTGAGGAAGAAATCGTGAACATGTTTTCATACTTGGGAATAAATGTAATCCGTTTGATAACAAGATTTTAAAAAGACTAGTGGCATATCCTGGTGGACTTTTGCACGGAGCATAAATCATCAGGAGGCACTCAGTTGTACTTAAGATCAATGGCTGAGTTCTCTACATGATTGATCAGACGGTCGGTAACAGTAGTGTTTTAGTTGCAAAGAAACTAAAACTTGAATCCTTGTTCAGCAATAAACATGAAAATGGGCGACAAAGTGTTTTTATAGAAATTGTCTGTGCATTATGTGTTTTAACTAAACCACAATATATACATGTAATCCCACTTTTGCATTGAGAATTATAAGATAACAAGCACTATGGTGATCTGAGAGAAAACTAGTGACAGCTTTGGAAAATATAACAGGATTGTTTGGAATGATATTTAACTAATGAAGAATAAGAGAATGTATTACAATACAGTACACCCAATGTATTTTGTTTTACTTCTAACGAAATCGACGTTTATACCTGTCGAATCTGTTAAAGTATTACTAACGATCCATCTATAGTCACCTAAATTCATGCCTAATTCCCTGCCATATTTACCACTGTGTCTCCAACAAACTAAGTATTCTTTAGTCATTAGTATATATTTCTTTCTCCTACCCGCTCATGATATCCACCTTTTCCAATTCGCACTTGTCTTTAACAGCTTCATCACCCCTCAATTCTTTATTGTTTGTTGTTTTTGATGATCGTTCACTCACTATCCCACTTCGACATCCCTTTAATATTCACTGTATTTATCTTTCAATCACTATTTCTTTATAATTTGAATTGTTTCTTCCTCACAATCCAGTCTTCTTGTGGATGCTAAATTACCTCTTCTCCAAACCACCCCACCCCACCCCCGCCTCTCTCTCTCTCTCTCTCACTCTTTTTCTCCTTCGTAATTCCGGACGACAATCCTTGCCCACTTGCTTTATCCTACGTTTACTGTAATTTGAAATACATTAATATAATTCTAATAGAAATCATTGGTATAAAATACATAAGATGAAGGTATATTCTACTAAAAAAGAGGTTGTGTCATAACGATGTTAAATTTTGTTCAGGTTAACGAAATCTCATGACTGCGCAGAAAAAAAAACCAAATCAATAGATGTTTTAATATTTTAGATACGGATGTCAAGAAATGTATTGACGACCATGATTGGAATCTAACATACCTCCTTAACATGAAATCGTTTAACAATACATGTTCACTTACTATGTGAGCGGCATGGACGGTATTTACAACTAAGCTATATACTTTTAAATTAAAACGTGACGATCTGTTTTATAGATTTTTTGTTTCTGTTTCCGGGATATTCACACCTGGGTTTGAGATGTTTGCTCCCAGTATCACGTTTCTTCAACAGGTGTCAAATTGACAGACAGTTATCACTAGCGACCCAAACTAGATGTATGGTGCTGTTTAAAACAATTCTTACATAGATTATACCAGGATACACATACAGACGATGTTATTAAATAGGGATATTTCCTGTGTTATTTTTTTTCAATTGTTCTCCGTTTATTTTTTTCTGTATTGCCAAACCTCTTATTTTTTTTCACACACGTCTGTAAATCGCTTTGCATTTCCCATGTCGATGTTCATTATTGCACGTTAGAAAACAGCCAGTCTTTATGAAGCAACCTTACAATATCAGTCCTTCCTGACATGAACACCTGTGTAAATGCCGCATTGATATTTCATATATACATACCATTTCTTGAGAAGAACTATGATTAATAATAAACAAAGAAGCAATCATATTGTTCGTTTTATTTTCAGATATTTAAGAAAAAAACCACAAGCGGTCAACTTTTTTTTTATATCCGTTTAACACAAATTACCAGAAAAAAAATGGTCTTAAGAACCGTTAAGCCTCGCTTTCAGATATAAGCATTCGGTTTTGGGAGAGAAGGTACGCGTTAAGTTCAGAAAAAATATATTATTGTTGAAAATAACTTCAATATCGGATTGAGGGGATGGGTATTGCTGGTTTAATAAAACCTTATTTGCCCAACTTGGTCTGAAATATTCACACTTCAAACGTGTCGGCACCCAAATGTCCACGTATTGTAAAACGAAGGGGAGTAACTCTGGGAAATATTACACGGAGAAAATGTACAGAGGTAAATCGTTATTTGTGCATGTCACATCATCTGTGGGATATATGTCTGTGTTAGGTCTGTGTTATATAGTATTGAGGTCTGTGTTATATAGTATTGAGGTCTGTGTTATATAGTATTGAATTATCAATTAATTACATAGTACTCCATCAACAATATACAATACCAATAGGGATCGAGAAATTAGGACTGGCTGTACAAACATAGTGCTCTAAATATGACCATATTGCTATATAACGCGTGAAAATTTCAGAACCACATTTACATGAAAGCTAGTATGCATAGTTTGAGCCTGTGTGTTAGGGTATCTTTCGTGCCGTTGCGTGCTGTTGACCATTTCAAGAGTAAGGGGACTGATAAACTCCGTGGACTTCCAAGAAGCTGACGTGTGTTTAGGTTGTCCTTGGGGTCAAAGATTTTGTGAAGGAATAGTGCATGAAAACCTTGTAGTTGAGATCCGTGGTTTGAGTCCCAGTGGTTACATTTTTTTACTCAATATTTCAGGTCCTTGACTGACTTAAGTCGTTCCTAACGATATATATATATATATTTACTGTTTGTTTTAGATTGTCTAATTCCCGTAGGCAATGATGAAAGAGCACACCTACACGTCCCCTCGTTTCTTTCGTGAGTGTGCATTCATTTCTTTTTTTTCTCATATTAAATGTGGTAAAAAAAATACCTAGAAACATTCTGCAGTAAGCTATTAATTACGATATATTACGATTGCTAATGGGAACATGCCTCTATGTCCATATCGGGTACATTTAACGATCAAATGTACATTCATATACAACTTCAGGTGCAAACTTTCATGTAATCAGTTGTTGAATGGTACTATTGTCATTTTTTCAAATGTTCATATAAAAAGATTTCTAATTGCTTCACAGTAGAAGCATTAGCTATGTGTCAAGTAAAAACTATTCCAAATATCTACAACTTTTGGAAACTAAAAACGTTTTCTCTTCCATCTAGACTGCAACGTTAAATTTTCATTGAAAAATCTTAATTGAAAAAGGAATTGAAAAAGTGGAGACTTTTAACGAATGATGAATTGATAAATTTCTATCGAAATGTTTTTTAAATGCCGAAGACTGGAATCAGAAATTTAAAGTTAAGTTGATATAAAATTGTTATGACATTAATTAACAAAAAAAAAAGAGAAAAGAAACCTGAAGTCACAGTGAAATGAAAAAAGAAATGCATGAAAATAAAAAGAAACATTTCAAAGGATCACTGCCTTCCCCTATCGGTCTGAAGCCATATTGTCGGGTTATCAATATCTTGTCAAAGTCAGCACACGGTAGAGTATCCCACACAGTGAAAGTGTTTACATGAATAATTTACTCCGTGCTGCCTAAATTGATATACGCTAATTGTATTTGCTACTGGAGTAATGTCCCTTCGCGGATGTACGGATCAGCGCATGCTGGTTGTCATGTCAAAACAAAAGAGCGTCACAATGGAGTACGGAATGTAAGTCGGGTCTCCTGTTAGTGTACGAGTGTCATGGGTTAATTGCAGTGACAGAATGGAGTCTCTCATTACGTGATTATGACAATATTTTACAACACAGTAAGCAATGGTTTTACTGTATGACAATGGCTAAATATAGTATTAGTACTTATGTACATAATTAGTGTCGTTTATTATTAGCAGGTGCCCGTTTTCATAACTGATGTAATTACGCCAATTGACATTTTCTATATATTTATACTCTACGTAAAAATGACTTCTCATTCACGAGATTACAACGCCCGGTCTATAGACTTGGGAAGTCTTAAGAAGCCGGAACCTTTACAATTCAAAATGACGGATTTTCGTCGTGATCTACAAATACGGAGTAAACGGGAACAGCACGCGCGAAAGGAAAGATTAAGGAGCCTGTCGGAAGCAAAACACCTGTCAAAAAATGCTGTGACGATCGACACGTCTCGTGGTAGATCCAACATTGAGGTCCTCAGGCTGTGTATAAAGGAACTCGGATTCAGAGAGGTAACTGTCACTAACTGAGAATTATGATTTCTAGGGATTTATGAACTTCTCTTTAGTTGATATACATGTAGCTAAATATCCCGCTCTTACATGTGCATATATCATGTAAACTGTAGAATATTAATTGGCATGCTTGAGTGATGTCTGGAAATAAAGCTTAACTAATAAATAGGCATGTAACAGGAAGGGATAAAGTCACTGAATTTCTTATACTATATAATGTGCACAATTGAAATTTGCCATTGTAATAAATTCTGTCATTCGAGGATTAGAATAAATATTATAAATAAAACCTTTAGTCTTTTGAATTGTTTCAGATTTATATTATAAATCTGATAAGTGAGAGGATGACACACATAGGAAATAGTCTAACAGAAACATACTGTAATAATAACCTAGTCATACTGTTCTGACCAATAAAACATTTTAGACTGTTAAAGACTTATCCTATATGTTATGTACATGTTAAATTTATCAGCCCAATTTCTTGAAATTTTCATGGATTACTAGCCAAGGCTCAAAAATAAGCTTTTGACAAACTGATACTTTTAAGCAAGATACTTTTCATTGTTTTTTGGTAGAATTAATGTATTTTGGAAATTCTAATGTCCCATACCTGCCAACTTCCCAATTCAGTTGTATCTATTAAGGACTATGTCCTAAATAAACGCCAGAAATCAAACGCAAATAGTAATGGTTGACTCGTGATCATGTGAGGTGACGTTTGTTTTCACTATTACTTTGTACTCTTTAGTTTTTTTAAAGTATAACTTTAAAAAGGTATATTTACCCATGCAGATCATAGCTAGGGCTAAACAAATATTTATTTCGGCCAGAGTTTTGTTTTTGTTTCTCATATAACTTGTTGACATAACAGATTATTGGCACAGACAGGGATTGCCAGTTATTTAAGCTAGATAATTTCTACTGGTGTTCTATCCGATACTTTGTCATTAGGATAATATAAGGCATTGTGACAAAATCATTGTTGTGGACTTCAAGTCAGGTGTGCCGAATACAAAGGATGATTGGCAGATTTGTTTTTGAATGGCAATACTGTTATGGTCGATTAGGTGTTTTCACATATCTTACCTACATATATGATACTAGTACATGTAACAAATAGGTTTAATTTTTAAAAAAAAAAGCTCTCAGTATGCATGAAGGAATCCTTTGAAATGTATCATTATCAGGAAGTCAATTTTAGAGTCTGGTCAATTCCAATGATTGCCCCACACACGCTTTACTGAGAGAAAGATCAGATTTTTGCTCTGAAGTTTAATGTCCAATAAAATTAGTATTCAAAATATACTTGATTTTAAAAAAAATTCAACTAACTTCAGATGGTGACAGTGAACTTAAATGCATATATGCCTGATTGCCATGTTGGATTATTTGATGACATTTATTTATTTATTTTTATTATTATTATTATTATTATGTTTTGGGGATGGGTGGATTGGTTTGTAATAATTAGAAACATAAAAAACTGTATGATGACTTTCCCAAAAATATCGGTAACTTTTCAAACATGAACATTTCTAATTTATTGGAGTCTGAAAATTATGCATATTTTACACTAAAATAAATAGGGTTAGTAGATTTTCACTATCTTTCTTTTAGCTCTTGCAGTACACAAAATGCCTCCTGGTAATGATAATGGATACATATTTGTGTTTGTTTGGCAATAAGCACATGCCTGGTAATAAGCCTATCCATATACATAGCTGTTTAGTAGTATTCATTGCAAAAGCTTTTTCAATATCCCGTAATAAGGCTGTCCCATTATTCTGAGTCAGAGGTTCTGAGCTTATTGCAGAAGAATAGATATGGTAAATTGTTTCCTGTTGTCTAAATATATTAATCATAAGTTTCTAAACCATCTAGGTTATATTGTGTCAAATCCAATTTGAAAAATGAAATATTTCATTGTTGTCTGCACAGAGAAGGATTAGTATGATTTTTTAGGGATCCTTGTCAGACCTTCCATTCTGTGACAAATCTTTACTTCATCCATCAGAGGAAAGCTTTCTTTTTTATGAATCACATTTAGCGGAAGTGGTGGGATACATGTGTATGGTATCTAATTATGACAGCACCATAACAATGAAATAAAGTATAGATTTGTGAAATGACTTTTATCTCGGCTGTAAACAAATTGATAAAATATCCATAATCAATATATGTAGAACAGCTTGATCAGGGATATGGTAACCACTACCTTTTAAATAAATCTATCAATTGGTTGTTGGTGGTGACATCAAGAGCTTTTTGCTTGACTTCAGAGTGTTGTATCGCTTTCCAGAAAACATTTACACTATATATCTGACAAGAAAAATCTCAGTTGGAAAATTTCCAGAGTCAACATCCTGCTTTGTTCATAGAAGGATATCTAGTGGTATACAGAGGTTTTCTTTAAAAGAAGTAAACAAATAATAAAAATAAAACAGTTTATGATTGAACCAAATCTTGTCAACAGAAGACCACCTGTAGGATTAAATATTTGAATTCAAGTTTTTATGACATTAGAAATGTATGAAGGATATAAATATATATTAAGACATCAATTTCGCTGAAGTCACAATAATAATAGCTAGGCCATGGAACAGATTGAGATATTAAGTTATTCATGTATATACATACTATTTCCCAATCCATTAGGCATACATGTGCAGAAAATGGCAAGGTTGTATTCAACCTTTGATGTATGATGTAGATAACAGAGAAAGGTGTGATATTGAGGCCATGTAAATACCTTATGATGCAGTAAAGAAAATTTGAAGTGGTGCCAAAGATTTACTTTGCTCTTGTTTAGGTCAATATTATTTTATTACCAAATGTTATGATTTACCAGTGTCTTGACAACTCAGACTTTGTTTTGTGGATTCAGAAGTCAGTGTGTATTTTTTTGAAGTTTTAATGTTATACACATTACTGAAGGTGATATTGATTTATCAATTAATGCTAAAATATTTATTCCTTAAACATCTTATTCTTAAAATAAATATTAAGGATTTTATTTACTTAGTGTTTTTGTGTTGAATTGATTTAAATATAGATGTCTATGAAGAATATGGGCCACAGTGGCTGAGTGGTAAAGGCACCTGATGGTCTTTATCATTAGCCCTCCACCTCTGGGTCACAGGTTTGAGGCCTACGTGGGGTAGTCCTGGTACTTGCCTCAGGTTGGTGGTATTTCTCCAGAAAATTTGTTTCTCCTCCACCAACCAAACCTGGCACGTCCTTAAGTGACCTTATCTGTCGGTAGGATCTAAAGCAACAATAAACTAAACTAAACCAAATATAAAGAATACGTAATAAGACCGCCCCCTGGTTTTCTGTTTGAACAGTGTCTCTATGCTTTGATTAAATTAAGTTCAATAGAACAGTTTATAGATAACAGAAAGTCTACAGAGAATCATTACAGTTCTGGGCTTTGTTGCTTCAATTTATAAAATGTTTTATATTAGACTGGCTGTTTTATATATTACTATCAATACCCCATTCTATACAACCTTAGATGACTGCTGCCATGAGGTGATAAACACTACAGATAATGTCAACAAAAGATGGCTTTATGAGGAAATCATTATCGACATGATGTTGTGAATTTTACCTCCATTTTTTAATCTCTTTAAGATAGATAACAGTCTGATTTACCATTCATTTATCTTAATTTTTTTCTCTTTGATTGTTTGTATATTGAGTCATTAGTTTGTTATGTATTGGTACATGCTTACAATCACCAATAATAACGTAATTTTGTGTCTATTATTAGGCATGAATATCATCAAATTAATGATTGATTAAACAGATAACAAAGTCTCAAAATAAAATTTGGATTAAAGTTGGACACCTGTAGATTTAATCAAATTTGAAAACCAAACAAATTATTTCATTCCTGTGTCAACGTTGTATTAATGAATATCTGTGAAGTTTCCCATGCCATTGCTACAGCAGCTGTTTAAGAAGTATCAACATTTTTATAATAAAAATTAAAAACCCTTTACCAAGATAACCTACTACTTAGTAGCACTGCAGTCAGATGTGAATATCAGGCATGACATCATCTGACAAACCATATGTGGTATATATCTTATGTTACAACTGTTTTGAAAGGAATTAAGTGTAACCTTGTTAATTACTTTCCTAATTAGGGCATGTTTTTGGCAACTTTCCATACTATCAAATTTCAGTAAAACATAGATAAAAAAGTATTCATAAAGTAGGTAGCTTGGAGATTTAAATTTGACTAAAGGCCTAATTTAATTTTTTTTTTTTTTTTTTTGCTGAATTTTATTAAACAGCTTCTATTTGCCATTTAGTGGCTGTGAAATTTTAATTGACATTTTAAAACTTCATTTGAAATTTTGTTCTCAATTGCGTCATCATTAAAGTTAAAAAAATCAATATGCCCCTTTTGGCTGTTTGTAAAGTTTGAAATACTTGGTCATTCCTAATCTAATTCCTGTTTGGTTGTTGTGATAGTTTGACATGATTAATCTTGTCTTTCTAGTTCCCAATTTGATGAAGTGAAAGTTAAATACATTTTGATCTTTCCATTTCTAGGACCCATCTTGTCACTGTGAAAGAATGACATATCTTATCATTTCATTTCCAGTTCCCATTTGGTCGTCGTGAAAATTTGACATGTGACATACATTGGCATGCCTGCAACTTTGATGAAAACCCAGAAGTCTACAATGGTGCTGTCAACAAGTTTCCAGGTTTGTTAATGTTGTACTAAAATTATATATACAGCATACAGGATTAATCTATAGTTTTCTAGCCATAATAGATAACAATGCAAATCTTCAAACTGAGACATCATGGCCAGGTTAATGTTGTTTGTGTCATCTACACAGTTATATTATGAAACATTTTCTTGGTTGGTTTTCAGGTTGGTAAGTACCTGCATATGATATGCATACACAATTAAAGTTTATATATATCTCATTCTGTAAATCTGTATCTGTGAGAAAATTATGTGTGTCTAATATATTGGTAAGGATATCAATTACAACAGCCAAGGAAGTTGATATGTTTAAAATCTGATAGGTAATTGTTGACTGGTTTTTGCCCTCCCAGGCTTTATCAGGACAAAAATTTCTACTTTATCTCCCCTAGATTTTCCCTTGTGCTCAATCACCCTGCATACCATAGGCATCCAGCTGGGGATGAAGGAACCCACATCCCTCCCAACCAGAACGAACAGTGTTGACTCTTTTATCCAAATTCCTTATTGTATTTGTAGATATATTTATCATAAAAATGATCAGTCTAATAGATTTGTACATTTCATAAACAGAATGGTCTAGTGAACAGGATTATAGTACATTCTAACTACTGTTCAAGGTGATAAACTGTTATCTGTGGTGAACATTACTAATATCTGAAGATATGACTTTACCTCATCATAGAATGTAGAACAGAAATAGCATTTGACTAGAAATATGTTTCTAATTCCTAATTTCTAATTTCTTGTTTCTCCAGGAATGGGAGACATCTGTAGCAAAATGTCTTTGTTCCGAAGTTTAGACACGATGAAGGAGCTGTTTCCAGCTGAATATGACTTTTACCCTCGGACGTGGTACCTACCTGCTCAATATCTGGAGTTTAGCGCAGAGCTGCGTAAACTCCATGAAAAGAGAGTGAAACCCAAGCCAACTTTCATTGTTAAGCCTGACACGGGATCACAAGGTGACGGAATATATCTTATGCGAGACCCACATGAATACAACCCGAATAACGGTAAATCCCATGTAGTGCAGGAGTATTTGAGCAATGTGTACCTCATCAATAATTACAAATTTGACCTAAGGGTTTATGTGGTGCTCAAGTCCCTGGAGCCCCTACAGATCTACATCTGTAAGGAAGGACTCGCCAGGTTCTCTACAGTGCAATATGAAACCCCCACAAAGGGAAACATTCACGAAACTTTCATGCATTTGACAAATTATTCCTTAAACAAACGTAGTGCCACATTTAATCGTTCAGAGCGAGAGGATGACGGGAGCAAACGAACATTAACTAGTGTGCTGCGACGTATCGGAATCAACGGTCATGATACAGATAAAGTTTGGACCAACATTGAAAAGTGTGTGTGTAAAACTGTTATTGCCATACTGCCAGAGCTTAAAGTAGAGTATCAGGCCACCATCCCACCCAACAAACCAGGACCTCGCTGCTTTCAGGTAAGTCTCAAGACTTTGCTAAGGGCCTGTCAAGACCATTCTCCTGTTTTAGACCCAAACAATAAAGATTATGAATATCTGTAATTTTGATAAGAATTTTCGGTGTGAGAATTCATTTTGTACATAAAAAATATTTTGTCTGTAAAAATCTGTTTAATGTTATGACTGTTTGGTTTCCACAGACAGCAGTGATCAATCTTAATTCTATTATGATGCAGATCCTAATGTTCGCTCTGTTACTCTCGGCAACATACAATAAGGGATTGTGTTCTGATGAAATTTTGCATTAGCCAATTAAATTACCGCTTACCGAATCTTGAAAGTAATGGAAGGTGTGCATTATGTCATTTTGTCACAATTTGTCAATAATTACTAGAGCATACTACATATCAATCAGATTAAGATAATGAGATGAAATGACCTGCTGCAGATGGAATCGTCCATTAGACCATTTGCCTTGTGTGAAGTACAAAGGATGCAAAGGTCACCACAACATGACCCCTAGTGGGATGTTGTCAGATCCAAATGTGGAAAGTGATGAAGCGAGAATTAGAATCCGCATTTTAATCAGATTGTATAGATCTCTATATGTATACAGGGCTGTGACATCTTATCATATCCCTCTTATGTTCTATGGTCATCATTCCTCTAAACCAATCAGACCTCACAGCTTTCTGAAACATGTTTCTTTCCTGTTTGTGCATGCAAAGCAATTTGGGCTAGTACATTATTCCATATGTGGTATCTTGCATATTGCATATTCCTTAGAGATCCTTTCTTCTTTTATTCAAAAAGCAAAATCCTCACTGTTTTAAGGTAAATCTTACCTGGTAATACCTGTTTCCCAATTCAGTACAGGTATGTCATTACCTTCATACCTGTTTCCCAACTGTTTCCAGTACAGGTATGTCATTACCTTCATACCTGTTTCCCACCTGTTTCCAGTACAGGTATGTCATTACCTTCATACCTGTTTCCTAACTGTTTCCAGTACAGGTATGTCATTACCTTCATACCTGTTTCCCAACTGTTTCCAGTACAGGTATGTCATTACCTTCATACCTGTTTCCCAACTGTTTCCAGTACAGGTATGTCATTACCTTCATACCTGTTTCCCAACTGCTTCCACTATAAGCTACAGGTATGGTACACACTCATCATGACTGTTTCCTTTAGGCCTTTCTACCAAATGATCTCCCTCATTTTTGCTACAAATATTTCATTCCCTTCATATCTGTGTCCAAGCCCTAATTCAGCCCAACAAACCAGGTTCTCAATATTTGAAGATAAATTCCCCAGAGTATCACCCCTACAATATATGTCTGGTACCAGGATTAAAACGTTCTATCGGCTGTTCTATTACCTGTAAACTCAATGGAAAGCAAAATAATCGGTTTCCCATTCATTTAAGGCCAACCATTTACGAAGGTCACCATGTTATCAAGATGATATAATCAATATTAGCTATATATTTTCATATGATATTAAAAAAACTATTATTATGATTGAGTATACAGACCGGTTTAACTTGGTTCTCAGTGTTAATGTCTTTTTGTCTTTGTCAGATGTATATTAGAGTATCTGTAATGTGATCTTTTAACAGCTCTTTATCTAACGGAATCTGTTTCAACCTGTTAAGAAAAATGAATTGTTGTTTGAAATGGGTAAAAACTGAAAGAATAGGCCATTGTTTGACATTTAATTAACAAAGGGATAAGGTCTCGGTATCAGGTTCCCCATGTAGGTAAATCACACAGGTGAATATACAGAACCAACAATGATTTACATGGAGGTGTATTGGTAAAAACATTTGTTATAATCTTGGATTGTGTTACACGACCAGGTTCCTACCACATTGGCGACGTGCCCGGGGGTGGTATATATATATATATATATAGATATATGGTACTACATTTAAATAAGTACTTTGTAATTATTCCAGGTTAGACCATGATAGGTAATGTAGTGTGTTATAATAAAGTATAGTACACAAACCATTAGGATATGTCCTATTTAAAGTCACCAAACTCCCATATAAACTAACTATAACAATAGATGGTATATAAGTAGTGTAAGAAATCCGTAGTGTAATGATATCAATTCTACAGATATATTTCATTGAGGCGATGTCTCCTCAACATGCTGTTATCTTTGGCCCACCATCATCAGATAGAAAAAATTGATCCTATTCAAATCATCCTATGTCAATGATCTGTTGTCTGTGTGTAAAGAATTCTTGTTATCACTATTTCTTGAGAAGTACTTGATGGATCTTTTTCATCAAATTTCATATTGAGATTCCCCTTGATCTCTAGTTGTGCCCTTTTTGGCATTGGTCAGAAAAGCAAGCTTATAGGTGGCCATCTTGGAGTTTGATTTCATATGGTCAAGAAGAAATACAAAGTCCTGAAGAAGGGAAAAGATCCAACTTTTAAATAACCAAAGTTGGTATCAATCAGATATAATTAATGTTTTAAAAGTTAAATAATGGTACATAATTGCAAAATACATCTTGATTAGTGCTCTGCTAATAACACTGTCACAGAATAGTGTCAATAATTTATCAGATAGATCGAAGCTGGTAGTACGAATAGCCTGACACTTATTTGGTTTGTGTACATGCCAGTGTGATATTAATGTGATTCTGGTGCTTAGTGTATCAATACTCTGACGGAACTCAATCATACACTAGACCAGAATTACCCCCTTGGTACCAGGCTTTTTGATAATATATACACGGAGTAGTGGAATATTTTATGGTCTCAATGTCCTCTATAGTTTTATTTATAAGGTAGTTTGGCACGCCACATCATGAAAAAAAAATCATATGATTTTTACATTCTAAATTGTTTTAATTTTGCTCAAGTTAACACAAAAATGCAATTAGTGACACTATTGTCAAGTTTCTCATCAGCCTGTCAAACGTGACAGTTGATGCATTGTTAATGGAATATTGATCCTGGTGGGTTAGTACACCACGTTTTGTTACAGATCACATCACTCTCTCTTAGTTACTATTCAAATTTATTCCGTAAATGATATAGAATTTCAGTATTATAAATTCTGATATTTTCAACAGTCAATGCTTTACTGAATGATCTTGTAAACTGTAAATGCATATTTGCTCTTTTGATCAAGTACAGCTATGTATTTTGGCTGTTTATGGCAGTTTGAAGCTGTTATAGGCAAGGTAGATTTACTAGCTTGGTGAGACGGGGCTTGATCCAGTAAAGGAATAATGTGGAGACCCTAATGGTAGAGGGAATGGACCCAGTAGAGGGATGATGTTAAGACCCTAATGGTAGAGGGAATGGACCCAGTAGAGGAATAATGTTGATACCCTAATGGTAGAGGGGATGGACCCAGTAGAGGAATAATGTGGAGACCCTAATGGTAGAGGGGATGGACCCAGTAGAGGAATAATGTGGAGACCCTAATGGTAGAGGGGATGGACCCAGTAGAGGAATAATGTGGAGACCCTAATGGTAGAGGGGATGGACCCAGTAGAGGAATAATGTGGAGACCATAATGATAGAGGGGATGGACTCAGTAAAGGAATAATGTTAAGATCCTAATGGTAGAGAGGATGGACTTAGTAGGGTAAAGCTGGTAGACCTTAATATAAGAAAGGCTTGACCCAGTAGGGGAATGATGTAGAGCACCTTATGGTAAAGAGATTGGGTTTAGTACTGAAATGACATGGAGCCCCAAGTGATAGAAATATAGGAACTAGTAGGAGGATTATATAAAGTTTGTAATGGAAGAGAATTTGACCCAGTAGGGAACGGATATGGAGCTCTGAGTGGTAGAGATATTGGACATGTTAGTGGAATCATATAAAGTTTGTAATGGAAGAAATTGAACAATCCTAATTGATTGCAATAGTAAATTTAATGTTAGGTTCCGATACATTAATTAAGACAGTGCTGTCTTCATCGGATGATATGAATTTGTCTAATGGTATGATCTATTTAGGATTGAAGAAGTGTATGTGGTTCACTAGGAGAAATTATTGTTATCGTACTAGAAATGGAGGATTGAGGGTCAAAAGATGGAATAGGTAAAATGGTGTTGTCAAGGGTTAGCAAAGTCCTGTTCACTTGTGCTGGTTCAATAACTTTTTCATTTGTCAAAAAGGAGATACATGCAAATTTACATTAAAATGTAAAGTCAGCAAACACCATACATTTCATTACATGGTTATAATAACTTTGTATTAACCTTATGTATCCTGACTAAATTACTTATTTTCCAACACGATTATTTTGTGCAGATCCTTGGGTTTGACATCCTACTACTTGATAACCTAAAGCCAATCCTACTGGAGGTGAACGCTAGTCCCAGTCTCAGTATTGATGGCGAGCAGGAAGTGTCACCAGGTGTGTTTGAGTATGTTACATGTGCGCTGGATGAAATGGTGAAGCGACCCCTTGTGAGAGACGCTCTTTTGTTGATGTCACCTGTCAACAAGCTTAAGTCTGGGTAAGTCATCACAGGGTGTAACATAAATGTGTATCAATAAGCTTAAGTCTGAATAAGTCATCACAGGGTGTAACATAAACGTGTATCAATAAGCTTAAGTCTGAATAAGTCATCACAGGATGTATGTAAATGTGTATCAATAAGCTTAAGTCTGGGTAAGTCATCACAGGGTGTAACATAAATGTGTATGAATAAGCTTAAGTCTGAATAAGTCATCACAGGGTGTAACATAAATGTGTATCAATAAGCTTAAGTCTGGGTAAGTCATCACAGGGTGTAACATAAACGTGTATCAATAAGCTTAAGTCTGAATAAGTCATCACAGGATGTAACATAAATGTGTATCAATAAGCTTAAGTCTGTGTAAGTCATCACAGGGTGTAACATAAATGTGTATCAATAAGCTTAAGTCTGGGTAAGTCATCACAGGGTGTAACATAAATGTGTATGAATAAGCTTAAGTCTGAATAAGTCATCACAGGGTGTAACATAAATGTGTATCAATAAGCTTAAGTCTGGGTAAGTCATCACAGGGTGTAACATAAATGTGTATGAATAAGCTTAAGTCTGAATAAGTCATCACAGGGTGTAACATAAATGTGTATCAATAAGCTTAAGTCTGGGTAAGTCATCACAGGGTGTAACATAAATGTGTATGAATAAGCTTAAGTCTGAATAAGTCATCACAGGGTGTAACATAAATGTGTATGAATAAGCTTAAGTCTGGGAAAGTCATCACAGGGTGTAACATAAACGTGTATCAATAAGCTTAATTACCCTTTTTGGACTGAATTACACAAATTAAATATAACCTCAATGTACATGTATTGTGTAAAAAATATTAATGTATCCAGTTTTTTTGCAGATTCATGAACAAAAGACGAAGGCGGAAGAGAAAGAAGGGAGGCCACTCTAATGGGAATGGCTGCCCTGAGCCTGTACAGCACCAGAGGACGCACATCCTGATAATTAAAGCAGACGAGTCTGATGAGGAGAAACGAGAGGTAGACGTCACTCAGCAGATGTCGGAACTCAACAATGAACTGGATTTCACCAGGCGTAAGTCCATATCTTTACGTGGTCACAGTTCAATGCAATTACTTATAGTTACAAATGGATGATTGAGAGGGACAGTGGTGGTAACACACCTTCCTTTCACAATGAACACTAGGGTTCTTTTTCTCAATTAGACATAAAAAGATAACAGAATGTTACTTTATCACCATGTGGGTTCTCTCTGGATTCACAGTTTTTCCCACATTCAAATCACATGCTCACTTCGATTCACACTTACGAGGGAGAGTTAATAGTTAAGTTGACATAACTTTCACTTTTCTTGTCAAATAGATCAAATTTGTGATATCATTAATTCTGTGGTTTGTGAGTAATATACTTAGTTCTGTAATATACATTTATACAAAATACCGTTAATTTACATTTATCAATCTGGTCCCATACAACAAACTGAAAAGGCAGTTATTTGTTAGGGAATTTTTTCCCTATCTTTGAAACTGAAATGAAATCGTGAAAAATATACATATTGAACATAGTCCATTTCAGGACTTCAATGAAAAATATGTCTTTGTTGCTTCTAGGTTTCTATAAAACCACAAAAACTTGAACCATTGTAAAAGAAAATATTTACAGTAATGCCATAATTAGTTCCATCAGTTACAAAAATACACTGTAGACTTAGTTATAATTCTCTTACCTAGTGTACTTCTTCAGTACTGTTCTAACTTCCATCAATGGTGTATTAAACACATCTTTTGTTTCCCCATCAGATGAGAAAGAAGAAGAAGATTTCCTGGACAGCCACACAGAAGACGAAAATCTAAATGACGATGAAAAATTTGTGAAAATTTTGGAAAAGTTAGCAAAAGAGAGCTGCCTGAAGCAGTTGTACCCTGCCATCTACGATGAGGCATTTGAACGACTGAGGATTCTTGAGCGAGTTGCCAATCTTTTCATCAGTTTTCTAGGGGTCAGGGGGTCACTAAGGATTGGTCCTACAGGTTTTCGTACCTTTGCAAGGTAAAATGAAATTCTTTACACAGAGTCTTATGTTTATTTCACCATCATCAGGTGTGGAACTGTTCAAAGTTCTCATCTAACATTATGACTGTTCAAATAGCCCTTCCTACATGGTGACTGTTCAAATAGCCTTTCCTACATGGTGACTGTTCAAATAGCCCTTCCTACATGGTGACTGTTCAAATAGCCCTTCCTACATGGTGACTGTTCAAATAGCCCTTCCTACATGGTGACTGTTCAAATAGCCTTTCCTACATGGTGACTGTTCAAATAGCCCTTCCTACATGGTGACTGTTCAAATAGCCTTTCCTACATGGTGACTGTTCAAATGTCCTTTTGGACTTGGTCAGATATCCCATCCAACATGGTAACTATTCAAATGTCCCTTCTGACTCGGTGATTTTACAATTGTCCCATCCAACATGGTGACTGTTCAGGTGTCCATTTTGGCTTGCTGATTGTTCAAATGTCACCAGGTACTGGCTGTATGTTGGTGATTTTTCTGTGAGAACATCGGCCTCCCCTACCACCCAAACCTGTCACATCGTTAATTGACCCTGGCTGTTGATAGGACGTAAAGCAACAGTAAACAAATGGCCCTTCGTACACAGTGAGTGCTGATTTGACCCTTGTTAATGGTGTCTTCAGACAGCCCTTCATACATGCCATAAAAACAAGACATGCTGTTTTTGAAAATAACTTACAAGTTTTAGTCAGTTTGTTGAAAGAGAATACTGTTTCAGATGTAATGTTGTTTTAGCCAATCAGAGGTAAGAAAGTACTGACTTGTTCACATGTTATATTAAATCATTGTTTATATAATGCAATATGGAAGTTATATTGTATTGCAGAAAGTAAATTTAGCCAGCGTAAACACTAACATGTTTCATCAGATAGAAGTTTCACGTCAGTCATATAGAAATGATCCTGTGTTATAGGAAGTGTCGACTGTGTAGGCGGGGCATCACCAACGCAGCAGTGGATATTATGTACATAGACATGCAGCGACGCTGGGACCACATGAACCCTGATAGGACATCTGGTAGGTCACACCTATAAACATTCTGTCTTTATAACATATAGGGAATACAAAAGTTTTCACCTGTGTTGCATAACTTTCACATGTGAGAGCTGGTTCAAGGAACTCAGAAACAGTTGTATTTGATCTGAACTTAGCTTAACTTAAAAAGAACATTTTTCTCAAAATTTTTCAAAAATTTAACATACTAAATATTTTGGTATGTCCTTCAGTCATTCAACATTTTTCAAATTACTGTCTAAGATTGTTTCCTAATCCTTGGAGCCTTACCTTGAATACTTATACTTTACATTACAAACTATAGCACAGTTATATGGAATATTTAGACGTGCACCACTATCGGACAGCTCTGTGGATGGCAGTAATGGATTTAATCTGATGATGCAGAAAAATATTATATATTTTGTATCTTAATTATTGTAGTTTTCCTTCCAAACATTAATGATTGCCCACCTGTTAATTTGTCGGTAGTTTACCCAGTAGTCTTATCTAGTCTATCCAGTATAACATGCATGCTTTGTTGTAGAATATTAAAATATCTAGCGCTAATGAAAATTGAATAATGCATTTATTTACTGAAATAAACATTTCAAACTGTGCTTAAATGAATATCTGTATTTCTAAAAAAAAACTGACTTATGCTTTCTGATTTAAATTACTTTTACCCGATAAATACAAGGTTTTTGCTGTTTGCATAATGCTGTACATGTATATGAAAAAGCCTCATTTTCATAACAACAGCTAAATTTTCAAAAATAATACAAGTATTATTTTGGAAGAAGTTAATATATTTGTGACATAACACATTCAATTATTTAAATTTAAAATGCTTAATATACATGCTGGTTTTTACACTGTACAATCAGACGTCTCACTCAAGGTATTAGGAACCGAATTATCTCCCTTTAATTCTAGTCTTGTTTGTGCTTACCGCTTGGTAATAAAAAATCAACAATTGTATTAAATGAATGTAAGGAGTAGCAGTCAAGTGTAAGCTGTGTACTTTATAAATGTAAATACATGTAGTATATGTTAGAATTCTTAAGTGTAAATGTTTAGACAGGTTTGCCAATGATAAATGAACCAAAACTTAAATATGTTGAGTGTAAACAATAATTTTTTTTGAATGTAAGTTACATGTAAATGTTTTACATTATTTTTTTTATTTTAATTAGAAGTGAAAGTTCTTGCAATGAAAATAAAGTTAATGTATTTTCACAGATACAATCACTGATAACTATTTATGGTATTTTCATGTATGTATATGCTGAGTTTCTGATTGTACGGTACCAGCATCTTCTACCAATCGTTTTCTTCTTTATTGTCTGTTTTAAGTGTCATTGTTATGATTTTGTTTATCCAGCGTTGGATATGATAATAACTAATATTAAAACTACCTTTCTCTAAACCTATATATGCAGCCATGTCAGAGAAAAAGTCCAAGAGTACAGTAGGTGGGTGAAATATTGTATGATGGGTAATTATTTAGTGTCACCAAGGCAATAGCTGCCTAGCAACCAATACCCCATGCCTTCCATACTAGTTATCATGACTTCCTCTGAGTAGTCCATATTAGCATGTGCTCATCACATGGTCTCTCTCTCTCATTTATAGATAACTCATTAAATATTGCTTTTATGTTATAATTAACAAGAAATGAATTTTTTCTGCCATCTGAATGCCGTAACATTTTCTGCTGTCCGAGTGCTAATCTAATACTCTTTTCCGTTTTGGTGCATTTAAACATCATGAAATCTAAATTATCACACATCTTAACAATGTCAGTTTTAATGGTTTATTCAGTGAAGATTTTGTGAATGTTTTTAATGCTTTATTAGACAGAGTTTTTCATGCTTTATTAAGAATTTGTAGCAGTTTTAATGCTTCATTCAGTAAAAAGTATGCTGTAGTTTTTCATGCTTTTTCCATTAAAAAACATTTAAAAGTCTTTAATGATTTATTCAGTAAAGTATCTATGAAGAAAACCAGTTACTTTTACTCTGAAGTGCTATCTGGGTAATAAGAAGTCATGAAAAAGTCATGTATTTATCAACACAGCTACATGAAACAGTCAATCTTTGATGAAATATTGAAGTTTAGTAAAAAAAAGAATTAGTTAAGCGGCTGACATTTATTGATCTGACAAGTATATTCTCTAAAAGATATCTAATATAATATACATCAGTATAACATGTATTGATGTAGAGTGATTTTTGTAAAATACTAATAAATATCCTTGCTTCAGTTCTATAGGAGTGTTCATCATAATTCCTAACATCAGTTGTAAATATATTTATTAACAATTCACACTTTTTGAGTATAAAGTCTTGTGGAGTCGGAATATGTCCAATAAAGATTCTGATATCAGTGCAGATAGAAAATTGTTTTTATCATGTAACAAGCTCTCTAACTGTTAACTTAATTATGTGACTTGTGATATTTTAAAAGTTCATCTTGTACTCTTTCAGTTGTAAAATAATCTCCATCTTGTTAATTATGGAAAACTTTTTTTTTAAATCACAGATAATTGTTTGTGTACACAAAGTCATCTCACTTAATAAAGGATATTGGCATTTTCCTTCGATCTGAATAGGTCAGAAGTCTTGATGTTTGGGACAGCAGTACAAGGCTTTATTTCGTAGTTAGGAGTATAGATGTTTGGGAGAGCAGTACAAGGCTTTGTTTCGTAGTTAGGAGTATAGTATTTGGGACAGCAGTACAAGGCTTTATTTTGTAGTTAGAAGTATAGATGTCTGGGACAGCAGTACAAGGCTTTATATCGTAGTTAGGAGTATAGATGTCTGGGACAGCAGTACAAGGCTTTATTTTGTAGTTAGAAGTATAGATGTCTGGGACAGCAGTACAAGGCTTTATATCGTAGTTAGAAGTATAGACGTTCGGGACAGCAGTACAAAGCTTTATATCGTAGTTAGGAGTATAGATGTCTGGGACAGCAGTACAAGGCTTTATATCGTAGTTAGAAGTATAGATGTTCGGGACAGCAGTACAAGGCTTTATTTCGTAGTTAGAAGTATAGATGTTCGGGACAGCAGTACAAGGCTTTATTTCGTAGTTAGAAGTATAGATGTTCGGGACAGCAGTACAAGGCTTTATATCGTAGTTAGAAGTATAGATGTTCGGGACAGCAGTACAAGGCTTTATTTCATAGTTAGAAGTATAGATGTCTGGGACAGCAGTACAAGGCTTTATTTCATAGTTAGAAGTATAGATGTTCGGGACAGCAGTACAAGGCTTTATATCGTAGTTAGAAGTATAGATGTTCGGGACAGCAGTACAAAGCTTTATATCGTAGTTAGGAGTATAGATGTCTGGGACAGCAGTACAAGGCTTTATATCATAGTTAGAAGTATAGATGTTCGGGACAGCAGTACAAGGCTTTATATCGTAGTTAGAAGTATAGATGTTCGGGACAGCAGTACAAAGCTTTATATCGTAGTTAGGAGTATAGATGTCTGGGACAGCAGTACAAGGCTTTATATCGTAGTTAGAAGTATAGATGTTCGGGACAGCAGTACAAGGCTTTATTTCGTAGTTAGAAGTATAGATGTTCGGGACAGCAGTACAAGGCTTTATTTCGTAGTTAGAAGTATAGATGTTCGGGACAGCAGTACAAGGCTTTATATCGTAGTTAGAAGTATAGATGTTCGGGACAGCAGTACAAGGCTTTATTTCATAGTTAGAAGTATAGATGTCTGGGACAGCAGTACAAGGCTTTATTTCGTAGTTAGAAGTATAGATGTTCGGGACAGCAGTACAAGGCTTTATATCGTAGTTAGAAGTATAGATGTCTGGGACAGCAGTACAAGGCTTTATATCGTAGTTAGAAGTATAGATGTTCGGGACAGCAGTACAAGGCTTTATATCGTAGTTAGAAGTATAGATGTTCGGGACAGCAGTACAAGGCTTTATATCGTAGTTAGAAGTATAGATGTTCGGGACAGCAGTACAAGGCTTTATTTCATAGTTAGAAGTATAGATGTTCGGGACAGCAGTACAAGGCTTTATATCGTAGTTAGAAGTATAGATGTCTGGGACAGCAGTACAAGGCTTTATTTCATAGTTAGAAGTATAGATGTTCGGGACAGCAGTACAAGGCTTTATATCGTAGTTAGAAGTATAGATGTTCGGGACAGCAGTACAAGGCTTTATATCGTAGTTAGAAGTATAGATGTCTAGGACAGCAGTACAAGGCTTTATATCGTAGTTAGAAGTATAGATGTTCGGGACAGCAGTACAAAGCTGTAGATCATAAATAAGAATCTTGATCTTTTGGGAACAGATTTTCTATTATTATCAGTATATAGAGGTCAGAGGTCACTGAACATTGATATTAATGAATGCAAGGATTGTTTGTGAACAAATAATTCATTTATCACAAAATTTCTATGTATTCTTAACTAATCACTATAAAAGATGAATAAATTTGCCAACCATGTTATAATTACTGGTTATATATATATACTTTATCTATTTTACAACAATTGCCAAACAAACTTGGAGTTTTAAATATTTGTGGATATATGTATAAGTACATTCTTTAGCATAAAGATATTATTTCGGCACGTTTTATTATAGAAAAAATAATAACAGAGGTTCAGATTACGGTATGTCGTTAGACGTGTTTAACAATTAAGAACTAACCGTGTGTCTGGTGATGGATTCTCAATTAACCACTGCTGCTTTTTGAACAGAGAGTGCCTTGTTGGAATTGTCTCCTCGCACATGATGACCTATGGTCAGCTGTAATTGACAAAGTGGATTTACTGTATTTGATGATTTTTATTTCAATTCACGATAGAGAAACTCTGTAAATTGTCTCCCTTGCTTTCGTGACAAATTTTTATGATGATACTTAGCATTTTAAATTTTTATCTTTGAAATCTACCCCTGTACTGAAATGTTAACAGGACTATCATTGTAATACAAAGTAATGGTTTGTACGGGTGGAACTCCTTAATGATAATTAGCAATATTATTTTGGTAGTTTTATCAAGTCATTTATCCAATAATTGCTTTCAGCTTTCTTATGTTCAAAATCTTAAATATTTTGCAGGATTATGTTTCCAAGGATTTCTTGACTCGTGTCTGGAAATTGCACGAAGGAAATTTCCTGGTCCATCAAAGATAGAAATGCTTGAAACACTGGTTGACTTTTGTGAAAATAGTTTAAGTCATCATGATGATGATGGTAAAATGCCTAACCTTCCCAAACTTCACTTCCGGCGCCTTGGCCTGGCGTATCGTCCAGCTGGTTTTCAGGTGCATCGCAGGTCAACAGACTGTATGACTGAGGAGACAGTGCAGGAACTGTACTCTGCTGAGAGTCACTCATCACATCACCCATCTGAAGAGATTGAAAACTTTCTGCGTCAACGAAGAAAAAATGCTTACCAGCCTACATTGATGAGATACATGACCCGCGTCTCCCTTGTACAGTCACCAGAATAATGTATTACTGATATAGTAAACAGTGATGTCCTGGATAATATTAGTACCCAGGTACAACACTACAGGTACAACAGTGATGTCCTGGTTAATATTAGTACCCCAGGTACAACAGTGGTGTCCTGGTTAATATTAGTATCCCAGGAACTGCACATATGTACTATCACTAATGCCACTATTACTATCAGTTATACCTTGGGTACTCTATGGTAAATCTTGTGTACTATCAGTAATGCCACTAGTACTATCAGTTACACCCTGTGTACTCTAAAGGTAAATCTTGTGTACTATCAGTAATGCCACTAGTACTATCAGTTGTACCCTGGGTACTCTTAGGTAAATCTTGTGTACTATCAGTAATGCCACAGTACTATCAGTTGTACCCTGGGTACTCTTAGGTAAATCTTGTGTACTATCAGTAATGCCACAGTACTATCAGTTGTACCCTGGGTACTCTTAGGTAAATCTTGGGTACTCTCACTAATGCTTCTAGTACTATCAGTTATACCCCGGGTACTCTAAGGTAAATTCTGTGTTCTATAACCAATGTCACAGTTCTTTCAGTTGTACCTTGGGTACTCTATGTTAAATCCTGAGTACTGTTACTAATGCCACAGTACTATCAGTTATACCCTGGGTACTCTTTGGTAAATCCTGGGTACTCTCACTTATGCCCTTGGTTCTATCAGTTATACCCTGGGTAGTCTAAGGTAAAATCCTGGGTACTCTCACTCATGCCCTTGGTTCTATCAGTTATACCCTGGGTATGCTATGTGTACATGATATTTATAACTTTGATTTAGATGTCTTTTTTTTTAGGTTTTTTGATACTGCCAGTGTTATGGTGCCACTGATACTGTCATCCTGTACCCTGATCTGAAGGTTTACTACAATCAAACAGTGTTTGATGTACAACAATGGTTGCTAGTTTCTACAATGAAATTTCCACCCAAAAATAGGAAAATAGGACAATTTCCATTTTATGTAAAATGTAATAGATAGAATCGTTTTCCATCAAATTTGAGTATGGCAAAATGTTGATATTTTTCAAAAATACAAAAACACAAGTTAAAATTATTGGATTATTATATGATATGAAGAAAGTATATACATGTTTTCAAAGGGAAACCACTAGATTTTCTATTCATTTTATTTTCTATAATAAACTAAATAAAAAAATCAACAAAAAGTTCGGGACCAAGTAGCATAATCTATGACATTGTATTATCATATGTTGTGCCTGACAATGTAAAGCACCATTTTAACCTTCTTTATATGACCATCTGAAATTGAAAAAAATTTAGAGTTTGGCATACAATTAGACTTTTTTTATAGTTATCAAAGGAAACCCTGGATATTTTTACCTTTTAAGTATTGGATTACAGTCAAGCCTTGTTATCTTGAACTCATATAAATCGAACACTCTGTTTAATTTAAAGCATTTTGTCGGTCCCTTGACACAAAACATTTGAACTCACTTAAATTGAATACTCGGTTATCTTGAAGCTTTTCCATGAAATAACAAGGTTTTACTGTAATTGTATTACTACACATAACTTCAAGTTTTTTGTTTTAATTTCCAGATGAAATGTTCTTCCATTTAAGCTTGTTAAATAGTATATGGTGTGAAGTATGCAGATTATCATGTCCATTAGTGTGTGATGGGAATGTTTATTCCGAGCATGTCCTCAGTCATGTAGAGTGCACAGCTGTGTAGAGACAATAGCTCAGCTTTCAGGTAAAAAATTGCTTAAACACTTGCCAATCATTTGATACATAAAAGTGGTGAGGAAGTATGTGAAGATGTCTTGTTATCTTGTTGGTGCAATATATTTGACTTGATGATGTTGTTTAAACATACATAACAATGTAATATTGTTTTTACAATACTGTCCTCCGGTTGTTGGATGCCATTTAGCTTATAAGACTTTCCTATAGAATTTTATCTTATACTTGTGAAATATATATAGTAGATGTGACCTAGTTTAATCAAGATATCTTACCGTTTTTGCTACTATATGGCGTAATGTGAGAAAAGGATTCCCAGTACATGTTCTGTGGTAATGATGTTCATGCTGGTGTCATATCATATTTAGCTCATTTACTTGTCATATAAATTGATCAAATGTTTGATTAATCACCCTAATGGTTAAAAGGTAACACAACCTGTAGAAAAAGTCGAAGGTTTAGTCTCTATCAGTCTTTTGTGATCACTGATTACAAAGTCTTGTCGAGATCTGTGTTATTTATGAAAGTGCTTTGGAGGCTGTGATATAGTATAGATATCCATTCTTGTGATCCTTGTTGAGTGCTCAGTATTTGATGGAGTTTTGCCATCCTGTTGATTTCTATAGAAAAAATGGCCTACTTTGAGATCAGTTGGAGTTTGAATTTTAGATAGGGTTAATGTTTTATTTTGTGATGGATATGTTTGATTTATGATATAGACAATTGTAATAGGTTACATGTTATTTACATATCAAGCTCAATTACAGAGACAGGGTTGTTAGTGATGATCTATATCAATATCTCCCAGAATGCATTGCGGTACCACTCTCCCAAAATGCAATTCAGTACCACTCTCCCGAATGCATTGCAGTAGCAATCTACCAGGGTGCATTGCAATACCAATTTCCCAAAGTACATTGCAGTACCACTCTCCAAGAGTGCATTGCAGTACCATTCTTCCAGGGTGCATTGTGGTACCGCATGTATTGAGAAGAATTGTATTCAGATTTGTGGTTTGGACAATCAGCTGTTTGTAGTAAGGAAAGATAAAAATGTCTGAGTGTGATAAGTATTAGAAGGAACTTTTCTTTCATAACTGCAGCAAGACATCCACAGTATATGTGTACCTCTACAGGTTCCAGTTTGAACAAATTTGAATCTTTCTCAACGACAGTTTCATCTCTGCTTCAGAGCAATGGCGACAATGACAATCAGATGTGGTCATATGACAATAAAGCGACAGTAGTATCAGCTGATTGGTTGATGTTTGTTTCTCATTACTGTGATATTTTACTGACATATGATAAGGAACCCTTCAGTATTGTTTAATAATATACTATGTAAGCATTGTGGTGGATAACCTATATGTGACTTTCTATTGAGATAAATACCCTAATGACAAGGTATATGTGACCTCATAAAAATGACCTAATAACGTATAGTTGACCTTGAACTGGAATACATAACCTCATGATAACATATATGTGACCTTGAACTGAAAAACATAACCTTATGATAATATATTGGTGACCTTGGATTGGAAAAATCTTAGTGACAAGATAGTTGTGACCTTGAAATTTGCTGCCAAGCAGGATTCTTGATTTTGGAAACAAGAACCAATAGACGTTTGTTCTATATGACTTAGTGAAAATTTATTACCTTGACCCCAAATACATGATATTTTATAAATGTATCCATGTGACATTGACAGAAACAAATGTCATTGAACTTTTAAATGCTTTCAGAATTTGTTTATGTCATAATAATTGTACATGAAATGTAACTATTAGAAGCATTTAAGATATTCAGTATTGTTACAAATACTATTATTAAGGATGTTTGGGAAAGTATGTTTACCGTTACAATATGACAAATTGTACATATGTGTGTTGGTGTGTGTGGCTACTTATTTATATGGGATAATTTTATCAGACTCTCAATCTCTGTGATACATATATATATACCATGATACGTATGTTTACATCAGCTGTTTAAATAATGGGCAGTATCATAGCTGTTCGTGTGATATTAATAAAGAAAAGGATCAATATTTAATGTTGTATTCTATATCTGTTGTGTTGTATATACATGTCAGGTTGGTGAGACTTGTGTCCCAGATATAAAAATAGTAACTATGTACTCGGTAAATAAAGTACAAAGAAAGGACAATTGTGAAATTATGTTCACCGACGAGTCTAGATTCTGTCTATCATTCAAAAAGCGTTTCGCCGACTCATGCGTGGTTGAATGCGATAGATTCCGTGGGTCTTTCGTAATGGTTTGGGGAGGCATCTCCCATGGAGTAAAATCCCCCTTAGTGGTCCTGGATCCAAACTTCAATGCCGTTCGATACAGAGACCAGATCCTCCAACCACATGTCCTTCCATTTCTCAGACGTCATAACCGAATTTTCCAGCAAGACAATGCTCGACCGCATGTTGCCGGAGTCTGACGTGATTTTCTCCTGGCAAACAACATTCAGCCTCTGGAATGGCCCCTATATAGACCCTACATCTCTCCCATTGTGGAATGAGCTGGACAGGCGTTTTAGGAAACGTCAATTCTCCAAACTAACCGCGCCCAGTTGATCACAGCATTAACACAGGGACGGAACAATGGTCTATTGAGGAGAATTAATGTTCTCATGAATTCAATGCATAGGATAATCCGCGCAAGGATTCGTGAAAGAGGTGCCCACACCAGATGCTGAAGTGTCGTTTTGTGGGTATCCCCCATAGAGTAACTACTGACAACACGAGTGACGTCACACAGACTTTTCTTCTACAGTATTGTAAAGAGTAGACTTGTTCCTTCACATTGATGTAAAAGTTTGTACAAATTTCCCAAAATATCATAATTTAATTGTGCGTTTCCGTTTTTGTTGAGTATACTTATGTAGAAGCTGAGAGGACAGGTCGTCGCCTAGAGACCGAAGGGTCGCTTGTTCCAACCCAGGCTGTGTCATGATATTTTTTCGTGACTCCTTCCTATTACAGATTTGGTGCCATTGACCATTCCAAGGGTAGAACTATAGGTTATGATGCTTCCTTGGAGATATGTTGTTTTGGGGTCAAGGACTTTGTAGAGGAGGTACTGTAGAAGCCTTACCTAGTAAGAATTTCCCCTTAAGACGGTAGAATGTCTGGCTAGAGACCAAAGGATCGCTATTTCGAACCCCAGCAGTGGCAGGGTGGTTTTCATTACTCCTTCCTTTTTCACTGATATGACTACTACTACCCTTTACCCTAAGGAGGTTCTTTCATTTAAAAATTAAT